TATCATGACGTATCCATGTCCAACCAATAGCATACACAAATATCGTTGTCTTCGACGTACAATAGAGTCATGATATATGATTATCCTTTGGTGTGCACTATTTCTGGTAGATAAATCTGGTATATTCTTACCTGTATTCATATGGACTATACATGTTATTATCACTTTATAAAGTCTCTGTTACAACTGCAAAATAATACAAATTTAATAATACAACTGAACTTAAATTTGCGTATATTGTAATACCCTTAGGTTGCTGAGTGCGACATTAAACAACAACAAAAGTATAATATCCGTAAGAATTAAGAATTATGTTAATTAGAATAATTATTAATTTCCTGATTTATAGTATTCATGAAGAACATTTCATGTGGGACCAATAGAGAGAATGATGAGCATAGACTTGCTAATTGTTTTATGATATTAATGCTAACTCAAACGAAACTTTGATTTATGTTTACGTTATCCACCAAATAAGTCCATTTTTGCTGTTTTTTGTTTAACGCCGCTTGCAGAAATATTATAGCTACATTTGACGTCGATCTGTACATAATCGAGTCTGGACCCGACAATCCAGTGACTGATGTCATGAGCATCAATCCATACAATACGATAACATGCATCAACCAAGTCAGCGAGCCTGACCATCCGATCTAATTAGTCGCCTCTCACGACAAGCATAGTCACCTCTCACGACAAGCATGGGATACTGAAGACCAATTCTAACCCGGGTCTTCACGTGTATCAAACTATGTGCCAAAGTTGGTAATCGAACCCGGAACTTCGGCGTGACGAGCGAACGTTTTTACCACTATGCTATCCCATCGCCCCGCATGTCTATAGGAATATTTTGCTAATTTCATAGCTATTGCACCTTTCGTCAAGTACTTTGATGAAGATAGTTCAATGATTATGTGACAATTATATTTACTATTTGTATATGCCTAGCTGGAATAAATGGGTTGTAAAGGTTGGAGACTGATAGCCCTTTCCCCACGTTATGTATGTTATGCATACAGTAATGCATTACCACACTTGCATTGTGGAACAAAGTCTCGCGATACAACGCTACTTCAGCGAGTTTTTACAACCCTAGTACATTTTCCCAAGCGGCGTTAAACCATATGATTGACCCAACACATTACAATGTGGGCGCGTATTAGTTGAAATGAAACGGGGTTACACTGTTTAACGTCGCTTTCAAAATTATTAAACTTATATGTAGCTACGTGCACTCTGTGTTTGTTTGTACTAATAACTAATACTAGTGCTAGCTAGGGCTTCAACGAGTACTCGAGTATTCGGGGCCGGGTCGGTTTTACTGGGACTCGAGTCCGTTATCAAGGACTCGAGTACTCGATAAGGGGAGATCACTCTGTTTCAATGTTCAATTGTTCATCAATATATTGATTAAAGCTTCAAAAAATATTGTTTGAATAATGTATTCTTTGTAGAAAGTAGATGTACATTAGAACAATTGAGAATGTCACATAAAATAGACGTAATTATTGTTTTTCCTTCCCGACTTTAAGAAATTGAATGTATCAAGGCGATTATTGCTTCTTTGCTCCGACATCAAATGCCAAGTGTATTCCCTTACACGGATAAACAACTGATTAGCTGATACATATGTGTTATTTCAGTGCTTACAAATCAAGCGACAGGTCGACAGTTTGGTAGTTTGAAAACGTGACCAACTCATGAATGAATGAACTTATTGTACTACATTTCAATATTGAGCGGCCTTAGTCTTGCAGCCCAGCAGCTGTGTCTACGTGTATATCGTGATGCACATTATCGATTTTCTTCCTGCGAATTATTGTTCGTGCTTGTTAGCAGGTGTCGAAAGAAACGCTGATCCTCAGAAAAAAACAAACTTGGTTTGTGTTCAATATGTACTGTAGTATTTGTAGACGTGGCGTAATGTTTTTGAAGGTCGTGATTAAGGTTAGTGCAGTTACAAGCAAACATTAACACTGAACACTTTCATACACTTTGACAGATAAACAAGTTCTGTGGACGCTCTCTATTTACATGTCAGTGCAGTTCAATTATACTTATAACATGTTTTAATATTTTAGATGGCAATTTTGATCTAATGAACCAATATTCTTAAAGGACGTCCTATTTTCGGGTACTCGAGTACGAGTCGAGTTTCACCCCTCGGGTACTCGAGTCCAAAAATTTGGACTCGTGGAAGCCCTAGTGCTAGCCCACGTGGATACCAAGCCACAGCCATCTTTGACGTCTTTTGGTATGACACACCGGGGGTAGAACCACCGACCTTCCGCACTCAAGGCAAGCACTCTGTCCACTTGACCACGGAGGCGTTTGTGAACATGCAATATGTCATACGGCCACAAACAGTGTTTACTTCATTTACTCGCACTTACCTTATTGGTGTTTTCAACGTCCCTCAATAATCACAACAGGTAAAAAACTGAAAAACGTTTTGTCGTTAAAACCTTCAAAATTTCCAAAAACAACGTTCATCCTGGCGCGCACAGACAGTCATGACATCAAAAATAGGTGTCTAAGATGACGTTCATCTTGATTCAAAATTAATTTCCTCCAACTTGTTTGAATCAATTTGTCATTTAATGTGCAGTTGTTAAATATTCGCCACGTCTGCTCCTATTCATTGAGTCTGGAATTAACGCGCATCAAATACACGTGCACGGAAGTGAGCCCCGATTGGTGTAACTTGTAAATATAACATCACGTGACAATTCTGGCGAACACCTGCATGAAATATACAACATTTTAGCCTGATGTGACATGTTGTTTAAAGAGCTTCGTTTGGAAAGTGACGTCTCACATAAATGTCACTATGCTAGAAGATTTAAATCGCTTGTCACTCGAACCTCAATCTGAGAGCTAATTGAACGTTAAGTTTAGCACTGTCTGCTGCATTTATCCAGGGTCTTTGACATTAATCGTAATATCTGGGGATATTATACAGTGGATACTCTAGGGTAGATTCCCAAATGCCTTTCCATAATATTTTAATTCAGCAATATCATTGTCTATGTTGCTGTTGTTAATCAAATAGTTGTTGTAGAAACTAGTCTCTGTATTTATTGGTCATGTTTTATTATTTTGCTGATTTTCTTCAGTATGTTTAAAATAATGTAATATATTTCACATAATGCAGTAACTAACAATTATCCATTGGATTTACTTCACATCTATAAAGTAATTATCTTCATCGATGTATCTAAAACAATTGTATTTCTCATTTCAGACTGGACCCGTGAAGACCCGGATAGGGAATTGGCCTTGAGGAACCCATGCTTGCCGTAAAAAGCGACTATGGTTGTAAGAGGCGACTGACGGGATCGGGTGGTCAGGCTCACTAACTAGGTTGATGCATGTTATCGTATCCCAATTGCGAAGATCGATGCTCATGATGTCAATCACTGGATTGTCTTGTCCAACCTCTATATTTTACCGATCGCCTCCATATAGATGAATTATTGTTGAGTGAAGCGTAAAACAACAAACAAACGAACAAACAAATAATTTCAGGCTGCATAAGATATTTAAGGCCCAAGTACAATATAGATACATGTATTATATACAAAGTGCTGGTACAGTAACAAGCGGTACACAGTGAAGATAAAATAGAATTATGATAATGAAGACCGTAAAGATAGGGCATCTTTAACGTATTTAGCACATAATGACAGGGTTTCAATGTTAGCAGTTTGTAGAAAAGTTCTGAGAGAATTTTTTTTTTTTTAGTTAGTGTTGGGCAAAAATGTGTGTTTCAAACGTTTTATGCTGGGCACACTAATAAAACATGCAACACATCTTCTATAATATTTTTACAAAAAGGACAAAAATCTGAGGTTTCCAGCAACGCCCTGCACCTACCTACATTTTTCACACTATGTAATTCTCCAATTCTTAATAGTGTTAAATATCTTCTTTGGTCTCTTTGGTATACACGAAGCAAACCTGACCACCCGATCCCGTTAGTCGCCTCTTACAACAAGCGGGGCGGTCGGGTGGCCTAGTGGTTAAAGTGTTCGCTCGTCACGCCGAAGACCCGGGTTCGATTCCCGACATGGAAGCAATGTGTGAAGCCCATTTCTGTTGTCCCCCGCCGTGATATTGCTGGAATATTGCTAAAAGCGGCGTTAAACCATACTCACTCACTCACTCACTCACTCTTACAACAAGCATAGTCGATTTTTACGACAGGCGTGGGTCCCACCCCGGTTCTTCACGGGTCTTGTTCAACTAGTCATAACATTTAAGCAAACCATATGCGTAGTTTTCATGTATTCCATATTTGACTCTACTAATTAAAGTTAAGTATCCTGTAGGTTATACGTTTAAATGGTAACAAAGATTACGCTTTACTTTCTATATTATTCATTTGAATTTATCTTTTTCCAAGTGATAAAGACGTGTTTCGTTACGCCTTAGGATCCGTTTTCGACATTCCTCACAAGGGTACAATGCGTGAAACTCAATTACCGTGTCTCCAAATGTGCTCTGGCGGAAGTAGGCCTATTGGTTGAAGCGCAGTTAAACTCACTTGGTAGAGGAAAAAACCTATATGTCTTTGGTAGAGGCGAATTCTTGAATCATGCCAACATTTGAAACGTGCTCAAAATTTCTTTTCACTAAATATGTCAAATGAAACTTAAAATACTATTCAAATGCATTTTTTTATATTTTGGCCTACAAAATATAATAAAATTATATAACCATAAAATCAAGTGTCGACTGACAGATTCAAGAAACCAGGGACCATTTACCAAATATCGGTATATGGTTTCAGAAGGAACGTGCGCAGCCCTAGGTACCAGTGTCAAATGAATCTTTCCTTCGAACTGTTTCATAAGCCTTTTGAAGCGAACAGATTGTTGATGTGATCATGTTTATTCTTGTGATGAAGTTGGGCGAAGGGAGTGAACATTGTGTGCAATTTACAATACGCAGCGCTCCCGCGAACTCTTCTGAAATAAAAAACGAGAAAGTCAGTTCTATCCAAGATGGCGTCGATAAACACATGTTACATCAGTTGCGGGTGTAATCGTACGCCGTTTAGTGCCGACTGGGGACGAAATAATTTGATTTGTTACGCATCGTGTAGAGCTGTGGCTATCTATCGGCCAGAGGTAATAATTTCATGTTTGTTTCGAACTGGTATGCTTATATTGCGCATAAACTGATTGGAACCGACACGCTTAAAATCGCAATTTTCACAACTGTTGACACATGTGTCGACGAAATATCAACAAAGGGGGTAAAGATTAAGGTTACTGTCAAAATTTACAAGATAGTCTAATCGAAGTCATATTTACTGCCTGGTTGTTATGTATCGCATGTATTGTAAAGAGTTAGTTGCATATCATTGCACGAATATTGCATCACAATACTGAACATTTTTTCAGCGATTATCATTTATATTTCGGGACTGGTCATTTATTATGGGTGGTGATCAGAGTGAATCAAGGGAGGGTCACACCAAAATATGGCAGAAGGCGTTGTTGTCTATACATGTTCTACAGATATGTATACTCGGTCCCTGTGGTACCGATGCATTAATTTCTAGTAGTTCACGCGGGACACGCATCTTACCGGCTCTCTATTAATACAAATCATTAACCAGGAAGTCCATGCATCGTAAACAATTTCAATTTCCTCAGAATGTTCCGTCTGCTGTAAATTAGTATTTATTAACACATTGGTATTTCTTTCTGGCATCTTTTTGATATTGCCTTACTCCGATATATCAATGGACAACGATATAACCGATAACCCGCAGTTTCCCAATAACTAATACTGGTAACAGAAGTTACGTTGTCTGCCCATTTTTCTCATTATGCATGTTATGTGGCCATGATCTATTAGGAGATCATAAGGGCCATAATGCCATACTTAGAAATACGTTCTTCACTAGTAGCCAATTGATAGATCTATACATACTTTTGGCATACAGCTTTTTACAAAAAGTGCTTTTTTATATATTTATTGTCAACTTTTAACATGTTTCCATTTTTATTTTTGACAAATTGTTTCCATCTAAATTTTCAAACAAAAATCTTACAATATCTTTTCTGATATTTTGTTGTTGGTTTTGCTGTTGATTTGGTAAAATATTTTTTTCTTACTTTTCGGTTAATATGCATATACTACCTGTTACTTATTACAAATTCAGAATTTTACTTGCGCTGTCTATGCACTTGTCTGGACAAATCACTGAAGTCTGGCATCATCATACTGTGTGGCAGGTAAAAATATGTTCTATTTTTGTCCTTTTGGGGCCTCCATACACAACTTTACCCTATACAGCGATACAGGTTCTCCCTTGTCAAGATGAAAATCGCGCTTGGCTTTCACTCAGCCTGACTAACGGAAATAATGAACTTTTATTGGAAAAAGATACGTAGTTAGATAAACTAAATGACATCTGATGTAGAGAACAGGAAAGTCATAAAGTTGAGTGAGTGCATTTTATTCCATTTAGCGTATATAACAAGTACCGCAATACCATAAGGTTGCAGGCTACCCCACAAAAGTTTCTGTATACGTATTGTGCAATCCGCTGTATCATATGACACATCCTGGATGCAAAACCGGGGTGAAATTCAACATAGCAGTATGTGTTGTATAATTTTCTTACCATGAATGGATCGGAACTGTCATGCTGTTATATGAGATGCATTCCAGTCTGCTATATAAAAAACAGGCAATCAGTCACGTACATACATTACAGGGGCACAGGTGGCCCAGTTGTCTAAGGCTCCGCAATTCGCTGTGCAGAGTTGCATCCCTTGGGCACGCCAGAAAGCTATGATTGTGGGTTCGAAGCCTGGTTCGCCCTGATTGTGTTTCCAGGTTTGTCAACACCATACCCGTGCTCGTCGGTTTCACCGAAGTGGTAAACGTCTGAGACCTGTGTAGCAGGGCGTGGAGTCATCCCACAGATGACATCCTTACCTTGTCAGCTTGCTGACGGGATTAACCTCTTTGGTCATGTGGACAAGGCGTCCGACCTCGGTTCAGAAGGTCCGTGGTTTGAAACCCATCATGGGACTCGGAAATTTTATGGCCGCTACACCTGCATCACTTCGGGCTTTCCTCCCACATTAAGCTGACACGCCATGATATAACTGGATTACTGTTAAAAGTGACGTTAAACCCAACTCACTCACTCACTCTGCCAAGAGGCCTTGATGTTACGAAGGGATGTTACATTAGGAAGGGATTATCGATTAGTTGCACAAATTAGATAATATACCATAAATCTGAGTCTGACACGGTGTTTGAAATAAAAAAAATTGCTAGGCTGCCATCAGGACCCACAAACGCTAGAAGTTGAATAGAACTAAACTATTCAGGCTATCATTAAAAAAACTGCAGCTCATTGTGACAAATAAATCAACACATAATTTACTGCCGGCCATAAGGACCCACACAAATTCGAAACTACGGGCCTGACACGAGATCTACCTGCCATGGGCCTACAGCAGACACTTAATTCGAGCACTGGTCTAACACTTGTAATATCATGATGCTTAGCATAGATGTGACATTTACAAATTGTGGTTTTTTTACCCAGGGCTGGTCAACAAAACCTGCAAGTGTTGTCTCCACCCTCACCGGGCACCAAGACAGAGTCAACTGTGTTCAGTGGATAAGGAACCCAGATAACAGTAAGTTCATGCAGTTGTGAGAATAGTAGAGATTTTTTAAAGTCACTTTCTTTGTGGACCTGTTAACCCAAAATTCCAAAACTGTGGAATATAATAACATTTGTGAGCAGATTATTTCATTTTCAATCTTAGAGTGAGTCAGTGAGTATGGTTTTACGCCGCTTTTAGCAATATTCCAGCAATATCATGGCGGAGGACACCAGAAATGGGCTTCACACATTGTACCCATGTCGGGAATCGAACCTGGGTCTTCGGCGTGACAAGCGAACGCTTTAACCACTAGGCTACCCGACCGCCCCCTCAATCTTAGAATCGTAAAACAATCTTCTATATTCTTCAGTGTGCAATTTGCGTTTAATTGTGAAGGCTGGGGCAAACAAAAAAATGTAAGTGAACGATACTGACCGATGGATTGTATATCTGTTGAATGTCATCTGCTGTAAACACTGCCCGTTTCAAGATGTGTGTCACCACAAGGTTTTAAAACTGTCAACTGTGAAACCTTTGATCACATTGCTAGTCAGTTCAGCATATTAAATGTATGATACCTTAAAGTATAAGTAAAAGGTGGCCTAAAACAACAAAGCAAACCAAACCAAATCTTTTTTCTGACCGGGGCGGTGGGGTAGCCTTGTGGTTGAACTGTTCACTTGTCACGCCAAAGACCTGGGTTCGATTCCCCACATGGGTACTAGGGCTGGGACGAGTCCGAATTAACTACTCGGGTACCCACCCCCCCTATATACCCGACCATACCCGGGTACCCACTGTAGGTCTCAAGAGATAGGTACAAAATGTCCGATTGGGCATTTTTTTACCATAGCACATGCAAAACGTATTAACATACATGTATCAAACAATCTGGTCATGCATACACTGAAGTTGACTCAAGTTATATCTTTATTCAAAGATTTGAAAAGTCAGAAGGAATGGGTGCATTGTCAGAAAGAAATGCGAACATTTGTGACTTGTAGTGTAACCATAGAGTTCAAGATAGTTTTTGTCATTAAACAATATATCACATGACTAACCAGGGGTCCGGGTAGTCCTGTGGGTACCCGGGTCCTACTTAGTACCCACCCGACCCGGGTACCCAAGTTACCCCTCCGAGCCCTAATGGGTACAATGTGTGAAGCCCATTTCTGGTGTCCCCCGCCGTGATATTGCTGGAGTATTGCTAAAAGCGGCATAAAACCATACTCATTCACACACTCATTTTTCTGATCATTATTTGTAGACTTTGGTTGTGAGCAGCTACAGTTATGACATCAAGCAATATTCATCTGTTTTATGTATCTCTTGATGCACAGGCAGAGAGGATGAGTTGGTGTCTGGATCTGTGGACAAGACGGTGCGAGTATGGAGACAGGAAGGAGAACACGTGAGTAGAACAGTAACGTGCTTGTTTGTTCGGTTGGTTAACAGTTGATGATTGTGTTTGTAGTTTAACGCCAATCACAGGAATATTCAAGGTATGACGACAGTCAATAAATAATCGGGTCTCAAAGAGACCATCAAGTGATCGATATTATGAGCACTGTCTCATACTGACAAACTGTCCCTACCAGCCACACTAAATAGTCCCATGTGATGAAGTAGCAAATATGGTCTAGACACTGACAAGGGTCATCAGTAGCACCTGGTAATGTTAATTTCAGAATTACCTCCTCTTGAATATGTTGCGTAAGTGAGTATAATATTGTTGTTTGACCTCCAACCAAAGGTTGTTACCCAAAAATCTGTAAACAAACTTACAAAAAATTCCTTCTGTGTTTCCAGTACAGCTTGACCACTACGTTGAAGGGGCATACAGGGGCAGTCAATGCCGTGGCAACGGTTAAAGTGTGCCCCAACGTTTTTGACCACAACACTGCGACTGTGTACATAGCAACAGCATCGACAGACTCTACTGTCCGAATTTGGAGACGAGAGCCAGAGAAAGGTTGAAAAAGTTGCTGCTATGAGTTGGTGTTCTGTTTTTAGTTATACCCAATCAGAATCCGGTCAGCCTCCTCACGACATTTAGGAAGTCACAACTTGCAGTGCAGAGTTGTGTCCCTTGGCATGCCAGGAACCTATGATTCTGGGTTTGAATCCTTGTTTGCCCTGATCATTTTTTCTAGGTTTGTCCTCACCATACCTGTACTGGAGGCTTGACCAGAGTGGTAAACATTCTCTTTGGGCTTTTCTCCCATGTGAAGCTGACGCACTGTGATGTGACAGAAATACTGTTCAAAGCGGCATTCAACCAAACTGACCCCACTGTAGTGGTATGGTCAGGTAGTCTAGTGGTTAAAGTGTTGACTTGTCACTCCAAAGGCCTGAGTTTGATTCACCAAAATGTAGCTCACCTGTTTCTTTATCCTGGAGTCAACCCATGCTTGCCGTAAAAGGCGACTATGCTTGCCGTAAAAGGCGACTATGCTTGCCGTAAAAGGCGACTATGCTTGCCGTAAAAGGCGACTATGCTTGTCGTAAAAGGCGACTAACGGGATCGGGTGGTCAGGCTCGCTGACTTGGTTGATGCATGTCATCGATCCCAATTGCGTGGATCCATGCTCATGATATTAATCACTGGATTGTCTGGTCCAGACTCGATTATTTACAGACCGCCGTCATATAGTTGGAATATTGCTGAGTGCGGCGTTAAACAACACGGACTGCTGTGATGTAGATGAAGTTTTGCTGACTGTGGCGTAAATCCATGTTTTTTCACTAAACATACATGTTCAACTACTTGTGGAAGTTAAATTGCTTTTCAAAAGATATTTTAAAAGAAAAAGTTTTGGTCAAAATTAATATCTACGTTTGTTGCTTGATTCTCAACAGATTTTGAAGAGGTGCAAGTGTTGTCATTCGGGACAGGTTTTGTGCTGACTGTGGCGTTCTGTCTCATCCCAGACACTAACAGTAAGTAACTGATAGATGTGATTGTCAGAAAACATGTATACTGTCAAGGCCTAACTGATGAACTGAGTCATAAGGGATGTGACCGGTTCTCATGTACCCAGGCATGGGTCGGGCTTAGATGGTACCTGAACAAGGGAGAGAACTCACATCTTTACTTCTCTAACACACGTCTAGATTGATGCTACATGTATTCAAGTCTTGTTGGAATGCTACCATTATTGTTGATTTATACCATACTTGTTGAAATAAAAGGTCGCTTTCGAAAAGTGTCACTATAAATCTCATTAAAATCAGATCTTAGTCACGTCAGACCTACCTTGTGCAAACTTTGACCAACCAATGGAATGACTGACAAGAAGTTGACATTAGCCAATCAGAAGGCATTTTTCTTGTGCTTTACGGCACTAATTTCAAATTGGCGACAACACTTTGAAACATATTTTGTCAAATTCTCGATAAAAAATTTGAAACCTGAACAAAAGAACATCTCAAATGGCTAATAGATGGTCCAGATTGTATGGATTCAGTCATTAATCCCGTAACTATCATTCGGAATACCCCGTGTTAAAGTTTTCAAGATTGCATGATCTTGTAAGCAACGCTTTGATTGGTCGGATGAAAGGTCGTTCTGACGTGAACCCTAATGGGATGTCCTCAGATCTTTGTTAAGGTAGCGAGAACTAAGATCTGATTTTAATGAGATTGCATCACTATTGAATGTATTATGTTAATCAACTAGAGTTTAAATTTATGCATGAAAGGCAAGTCTCCTTGTCATATCCCAAATGCTAAAACTTTAAGAATTAGGGGGATTCAAATATTATAGGAGCAAACTTCAACATGCTCAAGGACCCCAGAACCCCCTTAATTTATAACACTGTGCCACACACCCTCATGAGTGTGATTCACCCATTGTACTCTCTTCCAGTTCCAGTGCTGGCATGTGGTGCCGACGACTCCAAGATCCACCTGTATGTGTTGCAGGAAGGACAGGTGTGTATCATTATCAGGGTCAAACCATGGAGATTCTAGGGTAGAAATAGTGACCAATAACCATGGTAATCTATGCTTGTCACCGCCTCCGTGGTCTAGAGGTACAGCGTCCGCCTGGAGAGCAGAAGGTCTGGGGTTCGATCCCCGGCTGTGTAATTCCAAAAGATGTTAAAAGATGGTACTTATTGCTACCCTGTCTGGCGCTTGGCATTAAGGGGCTAAAGCAAGGACTGGTGGGCTCGGAGTCAGTATACTGTGTCTGAGTGGGGTATTCATGTTAAACTGCGGCATGGTATCTCAGTGTGCTAGCACTATAAATCGGCATTAGTCCGGACTAGTACCAGCAGCCACACACGTGCATGCATGTCGCTATATAAGTGCAATAATCTTGGACGCGACGTTAAACCCCATTTTACCTCACCTCACCTATGCTTGTCTTAGGAGTGGAATTAAATATATCAGGAGGTCAGACTCTGCGACTTGGTTGAGGGTGTGTCATTGTGCCCGAGGGTCTGGATCGTTGCTGAAAATTGTCTGTGACTTGTTTATCTGGTCCAGCCTAGTTTTTTTTACCACAGCACACCACAATGTTCCAGCATGTAAATAATCAAGTTTGGACCCGACAGTTCAGTGATTGATATTATGAGCAACTATTGGGGTACAATGACACACTATCAACTAAGCCACCAAGCCTGACTACCATAATATTCCCAATTTTCACGTCAGTTATCTGCACCTTTTGTCCCAATACCAACTGTCATATCTCTCCCACATTTGGAAGTTGTCATTCGACCATTGCGTTTATCTCCCTTGCCCAGCTTCATCTATGGGGAACAACTCACTAGACTTTTCCCTCTCAAAAATAACGTTGTACAATTGACAACGTCATTAAGTTGCAAGCGCATGTTCGAATCGCCAGAAATGACCATAAAGCAATGGTTTATTGTGAAATAAACCATGCTTGGTTCTTCATTGTTCTTGCGATTTATCTATCTTAAATACCCCCATAAGCGTAAAGGCATATTGCAATCAATTGTTATAAAAATATATGTCATTACAACAATCTTAAAATCTTCGATGTTATTCAGCACTGTAATTCAACACATTCCAATCCCATTCTATTATCAGCCAATCAGGAAACGGTAGTCGTGTGAGCGTGGCCTAATTTGATTTTGGTTTTGCCACAAACACACTATGCCGAATTGCCATAACAATGTAAACCATCTGCATGTTTGATCACTTACAGTGAATCTTGTCAACCTTGAGATTGTGTATGTATAAACCCAATCCTTTATAGTATGTTGGAATTGGAAGTAAAGTTATTCAGTAAAACTAAATACTAATTATCCTGCCTGATCAGCTTGTGGTTGGTCCCCAGTTTGTGAGGAAGAGAGTGCTGACGGGCCACGAGGACTGGGTCAGGGGGATGGAGTTTGCTGTGGAGGGTGAGTAGTTGCTGATGCTGAACAAGACGATCTCAACATCAGAACCTCGTCTTCATTGTCAGGGGGATATGGCCTTGATCTAGATTATGCATTGGATCCTTGGCGATTATACATTGATTTGCGTAGATTTTGCATTGGATCTTTGAGATTATGCATTGATTTGTGTAGATTTTGCATTGGATCTTGGAGATTATGCATTTGTGTAGATTTTTCAATGGATCTTGGAGATTATGCATTGATTTGTGTAGATTATGCATTAGATCCTTGGAGATTATGCATTGATTTGTGTAGATTTCACAATGGATCTTGGAGATTATGCATTGATTTGTGTAGATTGTGCATTGTCCAAAACTGCCAGAGAAAAAACAACTAGTGTTTAAACTACCGGTATTTGAATTTTTAGCATAAGTCTCATAAGTTACCATGGTAACTTCTAATTTTGATTGATAACTTGCTACCCTTTAATGATTGATGTCCCATTTTGATATGTACTGAACAAAAAAAGTTTAAGGGATCCTAAATATTTTGTGGGATGTTTTTATGAAATTGTCTTCACAACAACAAATATATCCCAAAAAATATTCAGGACCCTAACGTGTTTTGTTCAGCATAGTTGGATAGGTACATCCACCATTCTAGAGGTATGAAGGCATGATACAGCTAATCACACATGTCTGTGTCCCTCCCTCGCTGTGTAGACGGCGGGGACCTGCTACTGGCCAGCTGTTCTCAGGACCACTTCATCCGCATCTGGAGACTGGCCGGCCGGGACAGCAACACCGGGACGTCCTCCTCCTCCATCAGCTGCCTCTCCCTGGAGGAAGACATCAAGATGAGGGAGAACACGTTTGCTTTTCACCACAATGGTGAGTCCCTGTCAGACATGTCACGCTACATGTCACGCTACACCTACCTCGCAATGGTGAGTCCCTGTCAGACATGTCACGCTACACCTACCTCGCAATGGTGAGTCCCTGTCAGACATGTCACGCTACATGTCACGCTACACCTACCTCGCAATGGTGAATCCCTGTCAGACATGTCACGCTACATGTCACGCTACACCTACCTCGCATATCAATACATATCCAAGAGATCCAGAGAAACTGAGTATTTTTTTAGGAAATGCAACTTATATCATCATAACCCAATTATTTTTGATTTTCTTGTGTAGAAATATGCATGAAAATTTTAAAACACTATAACACTGTAGGTAATTACCCATTGAGCCTTTCTAGCTTGCACACCTGAATATCTTCACAAGTCTTTATTTACTGACTGAATGCAGGCATCACTTATTCCTAAACTCTGCTACAGTGAATAATGCACAAACGGGCTATGTCTCACTTATAGTAGCTGAGACAAGTATCACTGTTGTGAGCTTATGTAATATGTGACACAGAACTAGAAGTAAATTGAAACAACATTGTAGGCAGAATTATTTTAGAAATTACTCCTCTTTCAAAAATAACCAGTAGACTTGACCCAGCATTTTCGAATACCAAAAGCAAACTGACTGACTGTGACAATGAACACAAGTAACAAAAGGGTAAACATAAGAATAGTACTGTTTAATGTTAGTTTTCAGAAAATAATAAACAGGTGGAGTGTCAACTTAGTAACTTTAACTCAGTGAAAATTTAAGTCTTGATTCATCCATTTCTGAAAACGCAGGTCCATAATTACAGAACAGCCAATAAACCACCGATAGAGAACACATGCTCATTACATGAATATCACCGATGTTTTGTTCGACAACAAAGATTTATAAGGTACTTTATTTGCCGGTCCACAGGGACTGGCAGTCACATTAATTACCGATCCAAGCCTGATTTTACCGGTAAAAAACTTATAATTACCATAAACGGGAACACTGCGTTTACAGTTAATTTATCTCTTACATATGAATTAAAATTAGAATGCTTAGGTAATTTAGGGAATACAATAATATCCAACCATCGGGCGTGCAACTTTTCAAAACTTACCATCAAGCGAAATAGACCATCTCGGGCTGTCAGATTTTTTAAACACTTCTTAATGGCTTAAAAAACAACTTGGAGCCCTGTATCCATAGCTGTCATTTAGCTCTAGACCCGTAAAGATTCCAGGGTAGAATAGGTCTTCAGCAACCCATGCTTGCCTTAAAAGGTGACTATGCTTGTCGTAAAAGGCGACTAACGGGATCGAGTGGTCAGGCTCGCTGACCTGGTTGATGCATGTCATTGACCCCAATTGCGTGGATCGATGCCCATGATATTAATCTCTGGATTGTCTGGTCCAGACTCGATTATTTACAGTCCGCCGTCATATAGCTGGAATATTGCTGAGTGCAGCGTTAAACAACAAACCAACCAACCAACCAAATCACATAGCTCTGATATTGCTGAGTGCAGCATTAAACAATAAACAAACATACGAACAAACTGTATCGATAACATGAGGCACCAGATGATATGACCACTTTGGTTTATAAAAGGGGGAGGGGATCTGGACCCCTCTCTGGATCCACCTATGCACAGTATGATGTATATCTAACTACTGTGTTTGTGGTGCGGTTACAGCAATTTCCTCATGCTCCATGTGACCTGGCTAGGAAGGAGTTGTTGATATCAACTCCCACAGTGACTATAAGGACGAGTTGTTGCAAAACTTCATAACTATGACTTATGGAAGTTGATGCAGAGTTAAAACATAAATCGATACATTCGCATCAGTGTATCACATTGTCAGGTGTAAATTTGTGATGCATTGACAGTTACCCCAAAGAACCAAAATAATTAGTTATTTATGGTTGGAATAACGGAGGCACCATTCTGTGAGACTCACAGTGTGAGTGTCTTTACTCTGTGAGAACTGGGTTCATTATTGTCTGTCATGTGTTCTATTTCACGGGTGGCAGTCATCTAAGATGCGGCAATTTGCTGTGCAGAGTGGCTTCCCCTGGGAATGCCGGAAACTTTTGATCATGGGTTTGAGTCCTGGTTTGCCCCAGTTATGTTCAAGGATGAGAATCTTCCGTGGATCTGCAAATTTTAGTGACTACAAATGTGTTAAAATCTCTGATGGCTTCCCCCGTAAACAGCCCCAGATTATGGTCCACGCTCAGTTGCAAAGATGTTTCAGCTGAAAAGGAAAATATCCATTCTCACCCCTGTATGTTTCTAGGTTTGTCAGCACCATACCCGTGCTCGTGGGTTTCACTGAAGTGGTAAACGTCTGAGACCTGCATCACTTCGGGCTTTCCTCCCACATTAAGCTGACACGCCGTGATATAACTGGAATACTGTTACAAGTGACGTTAAACCCAACTCACTCTCTCAATCTATTTCATGAACAGAGGCAAAATATGCTCACAGCCTTGTCGGGTATTGTTGGTGACATGTTGGAAATCGATGTACAACTCATTCTATACATAAGTGCAGTTCTATTTCATTCTAATAATGAATGCATTTTCCTCTCGAAAAACCGAAAATATATACTTTTGTATTATCAGCCTCCTGTCCATCTTCCTGTCATACATGTTATTCTGAAATCAATTAAACATGTTGCAGATGTTGAGAGATTTCTAGCTGTGAGTCTGGAGTCTGTTTTGAGTGGTCATGAAAACTGGATCTACACTGTCCGATGGCGGCCCCAGGAGATGAAAGGTAAATATCTGGGAACAGGTATGCTTTTCTGCTTACAAGTATAAAAATTGTGTTTCTACATTATTTTGGTGGTGAAGTTGGCATTGTTGCCTGATTTCTGAGAGCTGTTAAGGGACTGTTCATTTTTCATAGAGAGGGTTTTGTCAAAGGTTTTTGAGACCGCCTCCATGGTCCAGTGGTAGAACATCTACCTGGAGAGCAGAAGGTTGTGGGTTCAATTCCCGGCAGCGTGATACCAAAACATGTTAAAAGATGGTACTTGTTGTTACCCTGCCTGGCGCTTGGCATCATGGGGCTAAAGCAGGGACTGGTCGATTCGGGGTCAGTATGGTATCTCAGTGGGCAAGCACTACAAAATTGGCTTCAGTCAGGGCTAGTACAAGCAGCTACAAACACACAATCACATATGTGATTTTCTGATTTTTGTCTCATTTTCTTTAGTCCAGTGAAAAACATAAAATGCTTATATACATTCTTCAAAAAAAGAAACCCACAGGTAGTTGATAGTTCATTTGAACCTGGCTACACCAAAAATTCGGTGTAAAAATTGGATATGTGTTATTGGAAAATGTTGGTGGTCTGATATTTGACAAAGAATGCATAAAAACACCATTGTCTATTTGCAATGTCTTAAACGGCATTAATACATGCACGCACGCACGCACGCACGCACGCACGCACGCTCGCATGCACGCATGCACACACACACACACATTGCTTTATAAGTGGAATAATCTTGAACGCAACATTTAACCCATTTCACCTCACCTCCAAGTTTTGGATGCACTAATGTATTGAAAATGCATTAATGTATTGAAAATAATATTTTTGGTTGACCCTCACCATGTCCTTGTACATCTTTTTTATGACCCGCCCTGAAAAGCCAAATGCAAAAGCACTTAATATCATATTAGAATGGCTGATTGTGTATTATCGTACACTAGTAATGTGGGGGGTCGGCGGTCGGGTAGCCTTGTGGTTAAAGTGTTCGCTCGTCATGCCGAAGACCCGGGTTCAATTCCTGATGTGGCTATAATGTGTGAAGCCCATTTCTGGTGTCCCCCGCCGTGATATTGCTGGAATATTGCTAAAAGCGGCGTAAAACCATACTCACTCACACACTCACTAGTTATGTGGGAAAATGCTCATAATATCAATCACTGGTTTGTCTCGTCAAAACACACACCAAAGCATCAAAACTGAATAGATGTAGAGATGCTTTTGATTTATCAAGATAATTGGTCAGTGTGACACATTTGTTTGTAAAATATCTGTGTTGCTAGGCAACCAGTGGCACCAGCCTATGAGCCTTCTGTCAGCATCAATGGACAAGACGATGATCGTATGGCAGTTTGATGTGGCAGCGGGAGTGTGGCTTGAAATGGTAAGTGAATCTCATTCTTGACATCATATGATATGCATGGCCGTGTTAAAATACATTACATAAGTATTTGAGATTTAACAATTGTCCAGGCAATGAGAGATCCAGTAGTTTAGAGTAACCTCCCTAGATAACTGATGGAAATGGCATGATATTCTTGCCAACATTCAGAAGCAGAGCAATTTCTGTAACATTCCCAGAGTCATCAGACATGTTATTGCACTCGACAGACCACCAGCCCATGGACTTGGGCTAATACTCAGCAGCTGTTATTCTCTGAATTTAGCTCAACCACTGAGGAGGGTGGTGGGGTAGCCTAGTGGTTAAAGCATTCACACGTCATGCCGAAGACCTGGGTTCAATTCCCCACATGGGTACAATGTGTGAAGCCCATTTCTGGTGTCATCTACCATGATACAACTGGAATATTGCTAAAAGTGGCGTAAAACCATCGCTCACTCAACCACCGAGGTGCACTGACTGCAAACTGATTGAACAGAACAGTCTGACCCTCAACCTAGACAGAAAAATCTTGCTTTCAAGTTTTGTCTTATCTGGACTTCTGTTCTAAACTGGACATATCTGTCCCATGCAAGTCTGATTCAGGGACTGGTCATTTATTATATTTGCAGTGGGACTGGACTTAGGTCTGTGTCATATTTTGCAGAACCCCACTCATTTACTGTTATATTTTTTCATGCCCCCCCACCCCAGTATTTTTTCATGATGCGCCCCCTTCCCAATAATAAATTTATAATAAATGACCGTCCCCTAAATAATGTTTAAATTTATTAAAAATTATATTCTAAAAAATAGAACTGTTTTTCATGCACCTCTCCCCCACTCCTCCCCCTGCCACACACATACACACAGACACACCACCCATCCCCTAGTTGTCCAAATAGTTGTGGTATGTTTAGCATTTAGGCGACCACTGCATCCACTAGACATTTCCCCCCCCCCCCCCCCCCCCCCCCTCTTTGCCATGTTATTTTATTTCTGGTCTCCCGTTAATTTTATTGCCCACCCTCCAGCCCTGTGTACTATTTCTGCGTATAACAATTCTTATGATCAACAACATGAGTATATTGTGAACTGAACTGTTTAGTTGGTCACTGAGACATAATCGGGATGAACCTGTCATTGTAGGTGAGAGTTGGGGAGGTCGGCGGCAACAGTCTGGGTTTCTACGGAGGATTGATGAGTCCTGACGGTCAGTCCATCCTAGCTCACGGCTATCACGGAGCATTTCACCAGTGGTCACACCAGCAGGTAACATGCAACAGATACTACATGTTTCATAGACCTTGGACTTTCTTTCTGTGCAATCTTACCAAAACAAAAGTAGATGTAAAATCAGTAATTCAGGATTTTGGCCATAAAAAAAGTTAAAAACATGTGTTTCCCTAATATGCAGAACATTTATTGTGAATATTTCTTTCAAATCTTGCAATAATGGTTGGTTTGCTCCTGTGAATAAATACTTGTAGCTGGTTTAAGCTTGTCCAGATGACAACGCAGGAGTTATCTTTCCTTACTCAAACAATGCTGGCAGTGTTTATGCCTACTGAAAAAAACAAATGAAAATACTTAAGCCTTGTTGACATGGTTATCTGATAATGTTGAGTAAGCATCTGATAAAAACATTTTGTTTTGACTATTAATAATAATAATTCTTATTGAGAAATTTTGAAAATTGAATCAACTCAATTTATGTCAAACTGGGCATGTTGCATTTAGAACACTATATGGGCTCACTGACTCACTCACTCACTACATACTTATACTCTTCAGTCGACCTTGACATGGGAGCCGACAGTGACCGGCGGTGGTCATTTTGCCAGTGTGCAGGACGTAGACTGGGATCGAGAGGGAGGAGAGTTTCTGGTCAGTGTGAGTGAGGACCAGACCACCAGGCTCCATGCTCCATGGGTGACACCGGACAGAGAGGTGAGTAGTCAGTTATAACAGCCTCTATATACCGGAAACCGCTCCTTCCAGACAATCATTAGTCCGGAAATCCCGCCATCTGTAGTTAATATAAAAATATGTTTAACTAAACATTACGTGCGTCGTGGTTCATTAATTCAGAAATGCTCACAATCCAGATTAAGGAGGTTTCACTTGATATAAGTATATAGAATTGACCACATCAGTAAGAGGAAGACCCTGCAAATATGTCATTGAATGACACCCACAGTGTAAGTTTTTTCAAAGTGTTGGCTGTAAACTCTGTAGGGAATCAGGGATGGTTCCTCTACACCCCATGCTTGTTGTAGAGCTGTAGAGCATCAGGGGAGATCCTCTGTACCCCATGCTTGTTGTAGAGCTGTAGAGCATCAGGGGAGTTCCTCTGTACCTCATGCTTGTTGTAGAGCTGTATAGCATCAGGGGAGATCCTCTGTACCCCATGCTTGTTGTAGAGCTGTAGAGAATCTAGGGTAGTTCCTCTGCACCCCATGCTTGTTGTAGAGCTGTAGAGAATCTAGGGTAGTTCCTCTGCACCCCATGCTTGTTGTAGAGCTGTATAGCATCAGGGATGGTTCCTCTGCACCCCATGCTTGTTGTAGAGCTGTAGAGCATCAGGGGAGATCCTCTGCACCCAATGCTTGTTGTAGAGCTGTAGAGCATCAGGAGGGTTCCTCTGTACCCCATGCTTGTTGTAGAGCTGTAGAGCATCAGGAGAGTTCCTCTACACCCCGTGCTTGTTGTAGAGCTGTAGAGAATCTAGGGTAGTTCCTCTGTATCCCATGCTTGTTGTAGAGCTGTAGAGAATCTAGGGGTAGTTCCTCTGTACCCCATGCTTGTTGTAGAGCTGTAGAGAATCAAGGGGTAGTTCCTCTGTACCCCATGCTTGTTGTAGAGCTGTAGAGAATCTGGGGGTAGTATCTCTGTACCCCATGCTTGTAGAGCTGTAGAGAATCTGGGGGTAGTATCTCTGTACCCCATGCTTGTAGAGCTGTAGGGAATCTGGGGGTAGTATCTCTGTACCCCATGCTTGTAGAGCTGTAGAGAATCTGGGGGTAGTATCACTGTACCCCATGCTTGTTGTACAGCTGTAGAGAATCAAGGGGTAGTTCCTCTGTCCCCCATGCTTGTTGTATAGCTGTAGAGAATCAAGGGGTAGTTCCTCTGTCCCCCATGCTTGTTGTAGAGCTGTAGAGCATCAGGAGGGTTCCTCTGTACCCCATGCTTGTTGTAGAGCTGTAGAGCATCAGGAGGGTTCCTCTGTACCCCATGCTTGTTGTAGAGCTGTAGAGAATCTGGGGGTAGTATCTCTGTCCCCCATGCTTGTTGTAGAGCTGTAGAGAATAAGGGGGTAGTTCCTCTGTCCCCCATGCTTGTTGTAGAGCTGTAGAGCATCAGGAGGGTTCCTCTGTACCCCATGCTTGTTGTAGAGCTGTAGAGAATCTGGGGGTAGTATCTCTGTCCCCCATGCTTGTTGTAGAGCTGTAGAGAATCTGGGGGTAGTATCTCTGTACCCCATGCTTGTAGAGCTGTAGGGAATCTGGGGGTAGTATCTCTGTACCCCATGCTTGTAGAGCTGTAGAGAATCTGGGGGTAGTATCTCTGTACCCCATGCTTTTAGAGCTGTAGAGAATCTGGGGGTAGTATCTCTGTACCCCATGCTTGTTGTAGAGCTGTAGAGAATCTGGGGGTAGTATCTCTGTACCCCATGCTTGTAGAGCTGTAGAGAATCAAGGGGTAGTTCCTCTGTCCCCCATGCTTGTTGTAGAGCTGTAGAGAATCAGGAGGGTTCCTCTGAACCCATGCTTGTTGTAGAGCTGTAGAGCATCAGGAGGGTTCCTCTGTACTCCATGCTTGTTGTAGAGCTGTAGAGAATCTGGGGGTAGTATCTCTGTACCCCATGCTTGTTGTAGAGCTGTAGAGAATCTGGGGGTAGTATCTCTGTACCCCATGCTTGTTGTAGAGCTGTAGAGAATCAAGGGGTAGTTCCTCTGTCCCCCATGCTTGTAGAGCTGTAGAGAATCTGGGGGTAGTATCTCTGTCCCCCATGCTTGTTGTAGAGCTGTAGAGAATCTGGGGGTAGTATCTCTGTCCCCCATGCTTGTTGTAGAGCTGTAGAGAATCTGGGGGTAGTATCTCTGTCCCCCATTTGCAAAGGGACCACAACATGTTTCTGTTAATTGAGTCAAACGCCTTAGCAAAATCAACAAATATAGCATACATTTTTTCTCCTTTTCGTGCTAAATATCTCTGTACAAGTGTCTGCAATACAAATACATTATCAATTGTAGAGTATCCATGCCTGAAACCGGCTTGTGCTTCATCTATCTTATTAAAGGAATCTGTCCAAAATACTAAACGTTTGTGTATAATACTGGTAAAAATCTTACTGAAAACACTCAAAAGAGTTATACCCCTATAGTTATTGGTGACATTAGTTGATCCCTGTTTGTGCAAAGGAATTATTATCCCCAGAGTCCACTGTTCTGGAAAATAAGTCTTTTCAAGCATAACTTTAAAAAGAATTTCAAGGTAGGGGAGGAGAATATCGGACGAATATTTAAAAAATTCAGGAATTAAATTATCTTCACCAGCTGCTTTATTGCTTTTTAAGTTTGCGATGCTTTCTGAAATTTCATTAGGTGAATCAAGAATATCTGAAGTTAACTGACAAAAAGAGTTATCAAATACATTCCATTCGTCGATATCAAAACATCTTTCCTCGTTCTCTGTAGAAGTTGAAAACAGATCCCTGAAATAGTTAAACCAATCATCACTTGGAATATTGTTTTGTGTATAACGATTAGTATTTAGCCCTTTAAGAGTGGCCCAAAATTGTTTAGAATCGCGTATACAATGTTCAAGTTTTTCCTGTTTCTCTTTGAAAAAATTCGTTTTCTTTTCTCTGCATACACTATTATATTTATTTCTAATATAATTATACTCATATAATGAGTTATTATCCTTTTTTCTCCTAAAATTGTTTAAATATTTACATCTTTCCTTTTTGAGTAGCTCACATTCACGGTCAAACCACTGTTGACTAGATGTGTTAGAAGTACACACTCTTTTCATGTCGCTTGCTGCCGTGCACAAGGCCTCTGACATGTATCTAACACTTTCGTCTATATTGTGTAACACTTCGTCAACAGCCTTTTCTAATAAAGAGTAGCATTCACTGCTCAACAAGTTATACATAAATTGGTCAGCTTTATCATTGACCCAAACGAATTTGGAAGCCTTCTTATTACCATGAGCTTGCACGGGTTTAGTCTGCACAGAAGTATATAAGTTCGCCATGACAGGAAGATGACAGGATTCCGTGCGTGATACAATGGTGAAATTACAGCATACGTCAAACAACCCAGATGAACAGATTATGTAATCTATGACACTAGCACCTTGATGGCCAATAAACGTATAGTCTCCAACTTCTGAGTCTGACCCACATCTTCCATTCATGATATGTATATTTAAGACACTGCATAAATTTATCAAACTTTTTCCAAAGTTGTTTAACACATTATCTGCTGACGCTCGTACCATGTTAAAATGGTCGAGTAGAAAACTATACACGGAAGGATTATCATTTTCTAAATATTCAAGAATATCATCTTCAACAAAATCCGGCTCAGTACCTGTGCGTGCATTGAAATCTCCACCTAACATAATATAATAGTTGCCGCAGTGAGAAAGAACATCTAGTAGCTCCTCTTGCAACAATAGCACACCGTTACTACAATCAGGTGATAACGTACTGTACCAGCGTGACGATTCTGGGTGAATATACACACATGAGTACACTACATCCTTATCTATATTAAACATGGTTTTGTCTAATAACACAAATATTCCACTTTTACGGATTTTTGTCCATTTCACAAAATTCTCAAACTTTTTTCTTAAAAGGAGTACTATTCCACCTGAAAGGCGGCCGAAGTCAGATATTTTTTCTCCATCTTTTGTTATAACCTTAAAATCTGGAAATATGGATAGTAAGTCAATCTCTTTGGACCAGGATTCTGTCAATCCAATGATGTCACATTTACATATAAAGCTTACAAAGTCACGATCCTGTAATTTAGCCATCAGCCCTGATACATTCCAAAATAAAAATTGTACATCCTTGTTGATAATTCTGTGGGGTACACTTGTTTGAAGCACCCGTAAATGCTTGTTGTAGAGCTGTAGAGAATCTGGGGGTAGTATCTCTGTACCCCATGCTTGTTGTAGAGCTGTAGAGAATCTGGGGGTAGTATCTCTGTACCCAATCCTTGTAGAGCTGTAGAGAATCGGGGGGTAGTTCCTCTGTACCCCATGCTTGTTGTAGAGCTGTAGAGAATCGGGGGGTAGTTCCTCTGTACCCCATGCTTGTTGTAGAGCTGTAGAGAATCTGGGGGTAGTATATCTGTACCCCATGCTTGTTGTAGAGCTGTAGAGAATCTGGGGGTAGTTCCTCTGTACCCCATGCTTGTTGTAGAGCTGTAGAGAATCTGGGGGTAGTATCTCTGTACCCCATGCTTGTTGTAGAGCTGTAGAGAATCTGGGGGTAGTATCTCTGTACCCCATGCTTGTTGTAGAGCTGTAGAGAATCTGGGGGTAGTATCTCTGTACCCCATGCTTGTTGTAGAGCTGTAGAGAATCTGGGGGTAGTTCCTCTGTACCCCATGCTTGTTGTAGAGCTGTAGAGAATCTGGGGGTAGTTCCTCTGTACCCCATGCTTGTAGAGCTGTAGAGAATCTGGGGGTAGTTCCTCTGTACCCCATGCTTGTTGTAGAGCTGTAGAGAATCTGGGGGTAGTATCTCTGTACCCCATGCTTGTTGTAGAGCTGTAGAGAATCTGGGGGTAGTTCCTCTGTACCCCATGCTTGTTGTAGAGCTGTAGAGAATCTGGGGGTAGTTCCTCTGTACCCCATGCTTGTTGTAGAGCTGTAGAGAATCTGGGGGTAGTATCTCTGTACCCAATCCTTGTAGAGCTGTAGAGAATCAGGGGGTAGTTCCTCTGTACCCCATGCTTGTTGTAGAGCTGTAGAGAATCAAGGGGTAGTTCCTCTGTAACCCATGCTTGTAGAGCTGTAGAGAATCTGGGGGTAGTATCTCTGTACCCCATGATTGTAGAGCTGTAGAGAATCTGGGGGTAGTTCCTCTGTCCCCCATGCTTGTTGTAGAGCTGCAGCCTCTTAAATCATTCCTACACGGTTTCAGACATGTTGGTATGAACTGGCACGACCCCAGATCCATGGTTACGACCTGCAGTGCCTGAGCATGATCAGTCGGTACCAGTTTGTCTCCGGGGCCGATGAGAAGGTTGCACGAGTGTTCCACGCCCCACGCAACTTCATTGACAACTTCTGCCAGATTTGTGGTGTTCCTCTCGACTCGGAGTTGAAGAAAAAGGTAATGATCAGGAATAAAACACACTCTACTCCTATGGGGATTCCCAGGGCCCTTGCTTGTGGCAAGTTTGTTTTTTGATGTCATGGATGAGGTGATGAGGAGGCTCCGTGACTTTGTTGCGTGTCATCATACTTTGACATGGGATGTTGCTCATAATATCAGTCACTGGTTTGTCTGGTCCTGACTCGCTGATTTACAAGCCACTGAGTGTGACATTATAAACAAACTTCCTTGCCTCGCGAAGATGAGGTGTTCATACACATGACAAAACATATTTAAACATACTTTCATGTATGGTTTAAAGCCATTTTTAGCAATATTCTAGCAATATCACGGCACAGGACACAGGTTATAGGCTTTGTACCCATTTGTCATGTTTATGAACACCTCATCTTCCCGAGGCAAGGAAGTTAACTGTCTACAAAAGTCCAGTTTTCACCCTTGCCGAACTAGGCTGGAATTCTTGGGCTCGATCGTAGCGCCACCAGTGGCTATTACGAGTTATGTCCCTTCTATGCCTCTCCTATGGACCAATCAGATTCAACCTCTCTTATCACTTGCATTTGCTTCAAACAAAATGGCAGCGCCCAGTCAAGATAATCAAGATCTATATTGTGATAAAACAAATCTTACATCGCAAAGTGCATCAAATCATATGAGCACATGGCGTAAAAACATGAAAAGAGTTAGAAAATATCTGTTGACAATAAGTTGGCGGTGCAAATGCTTTGCAAAGCCTGCAATCGACCGAAATCAGTTTACGGACCATGCATAGACTCGTTAGTCCAGCCAAAATGTAACTCCATAATACCAGCCTTGTTGGCCAAGGGTGGAAACTGGACTAATCAGTGAACTCCCTTGCCTCGGGAAGATGATGAACACCTGTGCTTTGATTTGTTTAACAAGGACTGTGCTTCACAAAGTCTCATTTGAAATCTAGGTCTGGACTTAATAGTTAGTGTGGTATGCACAACTGAGGCAATTCTGTGAAATTAGATGCTCATCATGTTCATATGCCTTAAGATTCTTAGGCTTCATACAGTTGAGGGTAGCAGACAGACATGGCAATGTTTGAAGGGCTTGAATTAATTAATCTAGGACTGTCACGTGAGTTGAGACCCCCTTTACCCTGTTTGGTGTACATTTCAGACTGTGTCCTCTCTCCCCGAGGGAGCCAGTGTCCCTGCCCTGGGGCTGTCCAACAAGGCAATATTCCAGGGGGACGACAGTCTGAAGACAGACCGAGAACTACAGCGCCACCCTAACGAGCAGTACCCTGATGTGTACTTTACACCTGTAGCACTCACGGGTAATACTGGAAATCTTGAAATTAACGCGAGCGTGAATTAAATGCGAAAAATGCGAGGGGTCTTTGCTCGCATTAATAGTCGGAATGACTATCAACAATAAGATGGCCTCACTGCACACTTAGGATGGTGGAAATACCAACTTGAATATAAACACAAACACAGTTTATTGAGCATATTTACAGTATCTCCCCTTCAGCTCTCACAGTGTGTGTGTGTGTGTGTGTGCATGTGCGTGTGTGTACACACTATCTCAGAAACAAAATATCATTTTAAATTTTTATTATTTGTTTTATAGAACGTTTACGGTACATACAATGAATGAACACAGGGACATGCAGGCAATTGCTTGAGACAAACGGCAATAGGACATTTTCAGGGATTTATCAACTTTTTAAAGGAAATTCCTGAATATCATTACCAATTTGAAAATATTCCTTTGGGACTTTTGGGAAGACAATGAGTCAGTGTCCTTGAACTTGCACCCATCTGAAACCCTGTACATTGCTCAGATAGTTTTGTTGAATATGGTATTTTCTTTCCCAGCGCCACCTAGTGAGGAGAATCTGTTGCAGAACACACTGTGGCCGGAGACACAGAAGCTGTACGGGCACGGATACGAGGTGTTTGCCCTGGCCAGCAACCCTGCTGGAACAGTAGTCGCCACAGCCTGTAAGGTGAGGAGGACTCCCAGATGTCAACAGGACCAGTCTGTATCAAACTTTAGGCTTAGATAAATAAAAGAATTGGTTCTCAGGCAATGTTTTTTGAAAATATAGTGTGGGCGGGTGGTGTCTTTTTATTTTCCCTTTTTTTTTTCTTCTTTTTTTTCGGGGGGGACGGGGGAGGGGGGGTTCAGTATGGAAACAATAAACAGATGTGTAATCAATAAACAATTGTGTACAATCAACCTGGGAAAGGGCCTCCCTACAAAATGTATTCCTTGATGAGTAAAATACTAGAATACAGTATTTGACTACCGTTGGAAAAACAAATCATGTGGCGAACTTTATGATGATGCGGGCGGTGCCTGAGAACCAAGCCTACTTAGACTCTTCTGTAGCCTAACTTGTCTTAAAACCGAGTTGTCAAGAAATTATGGGGGATTACCCTAATTTTATGCCACGTTAATGGAAATCTTACACTTAAAGTATCAAAGTTAATAATAGCTTATGATGGCTTTGTACAATCTATTTTAATGCCTCCAGTAACTAATGAAATATTAACAATTATAGCTAAAATGAATAGAATTATCATTAAACCGCCCACCTGTTACAGAAATGATTGGGCCACTGTAGCTTGATAATGCCCTCATATTGTTTGACGACGGGCCTTGCTGCGTGAATATCTGACAACCAAAGTGGAAAACACTTATGATCTGTGGAACTTCATCTCATATTAAGCTGACACACCGTGATATTACTGGAATACTGTTCAAAGCTGCTATGTGATCTATTTCACGGGTGGCCCAGTCATCTAAGGCGCGGCAATTTGCTTAATATTTCAAACTTATGATCGTGGGTTTGAGTCCTGGTTCGCCCTAAGCTGACACACCATGATAGAACAGGAATACTGTTCAAAGCTGCAATAAACCCACTCACCCGCATTCACCTGCACACATCCGCATACACCCACCCTTTTTTGATGCTTTATCTTGTCATCGATGTATTGAATTACCATGGACGTTGCATAGATAGATGATAAATTGTTACACTCACATAGGCTGATCCAGAAGGGGGGGTTGGGGGGGGCGGGAGGTATCAGGGGGTCTGGACCACAAACCCCTTTTGAAAACCAAATGTAGAATGTTATAGGCAGTTAAATTGTCTGAGAGAGGATTTTGATACTTTGGACCCCTCCCTTTTGAAAATGCTGGATCCACCCTTGGTTCGTATTAAATAGGGATGATATACATGTGTATGTGTGTGATTATTTCATATAATCATTGCTCTGCTGTATGGCATCTCTGAGAACACAATCATGTCCTCCAGGCTTCGAAAGCTGAGTTTGCCAACATCCTGCTGTGGGACACATCAACATGGAGACAGATCGGTTCACTAGAGGGCGCCACACTGACGGTCACCCAGATGGCGTTCTCACCCAGCGGACAGTACCTCCTTGCGGTGTCCCGAGACCGGACATGGTCACTATATCAACAAACAGGTAGGGCAGGCCGCCACAAACCGCCCCTTGTCGGGTTGGATTGATACGATACATGATACGTTGTTTTTTTGTATCACTACAAGACGATACACATGCTAAAATAAAATGTAATGGTGCATCATGACTTTACGAAACGATACATGATACATTTATTTTCTGTATCGATAGAAGACAGTTGCTAAAATTAATTACTTGCTACTCGTTTAATGATCCCTACCCCAGCGTTTTTGTCAGTCAAATATTGCAAAATGTGTTGTAATTAGCTTTTCAAGTTACTTCTAAAAAGAGCTGCTATGAACATGTCTCCAGCTAGCGTTTCCTTTGGAACCAGCTCTGAAATATTTATAGCCAGGAAGTTTCCATGTGATTTGACATAAATATGCATATCGTGATACATATCGTTTCGTGACCTTAGTATCGTATCTCGCCCTTTGTATCATGATACGTATCATATCGTGACCTTGCGGTAATATTTGAAACCTGTTGTCATAATCAAGGGGGTTCTGGGTAATTTAAGGTGTATTGTCATAGTTGTAAATACAGTGATCCCTCAGTACGACACTACCTTCGGGGTCCAAATAATTGATGAGCGTTATAGATGATCAGCGGTTTAACGAAGGTCGAGTCAAAGGTGGTAGATGACCAGGTGATAATGTTTTCTGAGATGGGTGAAAAAACATCTTGTCATTTGAAAACTTGAGTTTATTAAAAATGTTGGTAAATTTTGGGAGCTATGCTTTACTGCGCTATAACCGAGTTAGCGCTATATTGAAGGGCGCAGTGACGAGGGAACACTGTCCCTTCATCTAGGTGCTGGTTTGAATGGTGCCATTGTCTGTGGCCTAGATCTGATCTTGGCACGTCAGGTCTGGGAGCGTTTGTTTACATTTACTATGTCATTTAGTAGTGGGATCAGCACTGGCTATCCGGCTTTCAGCCGTGCAACACATATTTTATACTCTTAACGGTACATTCATCTGCCGTTCTTTGCATGGCAGTGGTTGCTGCACTGGTTTGCTCAACAGGGGTTAAGCTCATTTTCTGCAGTCCACCAGTACCTCCACATCCGCAACCATTTCATCCCAATAACATCTCGTTTTATTTCAAGTCCACTATTATGCAGGATAGCAGAGCCCGGCCTAATGGGGTCATGTCCTTATATAATTACTCTAGGTTTGTTTGGCTCATACTCTATCATGTTTTGCTGTAGGCGAGACGTGGGAGCGAGTCAGCAGTGTTGACAAGAAGACCTCACATTCCCGCATCATCTGGGCATGCTGCTGGACACACGATGACCAGTACTACATTACAGTGTCCAGGGACAAGAAGGTATGATCAACCCATGTACTCCCACATCACATTCAGCTGAAATTACTGCCCCTCTTGTAATCACTTGGCTTTGTTTGGAGTTGAATTTGAATGATTTAGTGAGTGAGTGAGTACGGTTTTACGCCGCTTTTAGCAATATTCCAGCAATATCACAGTGGGGGACACCAGAAATGGGCTTCACACATTGTACCCATTGAACCCGAGTTTTCGGCGTGACGAGCGAACACTTAAACCACCAAGCTACCCGACCGCCCCTTGATTGATTTAAAGCTGAACATCCTGAATGAAGTAAGAATGTCAAGGTTAATCCTTTTGGAAGAATGCTGTCTTCTTTACCTTGAAATTACCAGCATTTGGTGGCTCAAGTTTTGTATGAACCATGAATGAATACCTGGTTCTGTTTGCAGGCTATGGTATGGTCACTGAGCAGTGTGACTGAGGACAGGGGTGCAGCTAAAGCAGTGTCCAGTCTTGTCCTGTCCGAGTCTGTGACCGCAGTGGACAGTGCTCCTTGCACTGTGGGAGGACAGTAAGTGGGATAACTTGGGCAGACACCCTGTGGAGTAATCAACATCTTTAATATCAGACCTCAGATCATTTCACATATCTTTCTATTTAATTTCATTGAAGATTTTGTGTCTCTGTCACTACAGAATTGATCATAAGAGCTGATGGTTGGTGATCTTACTCCAAAAGCATTAAAAGGCACTCATTCTTTCATCCATTGGTTGATTACTGTGACATAAAACAACCACTGTCACTTGCACAGGAAACAGTCACCAACTGAATTTAGAAAATAAATGTAAAACTCTACATTTCTTCTCATCCCTGGTATTTTTCGAATGCATAAAAACTATGTATGGTAAACATTTATAATAACAAAATGGAGATTGCTCAAGTTTATCACTCCCACTCGAGCACCATCAAAATTATGAAAAAAAATAATAATGTAATTACTACTAACAGTCTGCATGTGTAGGTGAGTTAAGCAACACTGCTGTATAAATTACTTTGATGAATGGGTAGATCTGACCTATATTTGGTGTGATCTACAGGTACCTGTTTGCTGTTGGTCTGGAGAGTGGGCAGGTTCTTCTGTATCGATGGTGTGCCAAGGACGGAAGCTGGACGTGCTGTCACACACTCACACAATCGTATCCTTCTCAATTCATGATTAGTACTTGTCACAGTATAGACATGACATCTCCATTAACTAATTCTACGCAAGTGATAATACTCGTCTGTTACTGTTTTGGGGGCCACTTTTTCATAGCCCGAATCAAATCAAATTTCTTTCTGTCCAGTAAACTTTAATAGACATGAAAACATGAAAACATTCTTTCCATCAAGAAATTACTCATGCTTCCCACCAATCAAACGTCGAGAAAAGGGAAATGGGACTTGCCACCGCCACCTTTAATGGACATGATGACATCCTTTTCATCAGAAAGATTTGGGGGGCTTTCTTTTGCGTGTCAGCCAGTTTTCAATGTTTGATTTCTTGCAAACTGAGTTGTCATCAATGGGCCTGACCGCCATGTTGTTGATATCACCAACCCAACATTGAGGCTGGTTGGTAACTCTCATTCATTTGTTTGTTGTTTAACGCCACACTCAGCAATATTCTAGCTATATGACGGTGGTCTGTAATTAATCGAGTCTGGACCAGACAATCCAGTGATTGATATCATGAGCATCGATCCATGTAATTGTGATACAATGACGTATCAACCGAGTCAGACCACCCGATCCCGTTAGTCGCCTCTTACGGCAAGCATGGGTGGCTTAAGACCTAGTCTACCCAGATTAGCTAATTTAAAGAGCAGGTAAATTGTGATCGCAAGAACTTTGTCCTCTGTATAAAATATACACAAATGGCATCTTATATGAAATTTGTTTGAGAGTAAAATTGTCCAATGTCCCTTAATAATATATAACATACATATATGGGGTTAGCATGTGTCTTACCAACAGTGGAACCAGTTTTCTTTTCACTCTCTATTCCAGTAAAGGATGACTGTCTGCTTTTTATATAACAGATTGGACTGTTTGTCAAAACCATAGTGAAAGTGTTTGAAAAAAAGAATAAAGAAGTGTTTTGTAAAAGATACCATTGGAACAATATTTAAAGAAAATGTTCTTGTGGACATGAGTTACCTCCCTTCCTCTACACTTTTTTGTCTTAAACAAACTATATATGTGATGGAGGTGATTCACTTTGAACAGTGACCTCTTTATTCCTCAGATACTTGGAGACAATAAAATGATGTGAAGTGGGGTGTTTAGTATGGAGGCAGGTAGAGATTGTACGATATCTTTTAAACTAAAGGAAACGTGAAGATTCCGGGGTAGAATAGGTCTTCAGCAACTCATGTTTGTCGTAAATGGTGACTATGTTTGTCTTAGGAGGCAACTAACGGGATTGGGTGGTCAGGCTCGCTGACTTGGTTGATACTTGTCATCAATCTCAATTGCGTGGATCGATGCTCATGATGTCAATCACTGGATTGTCTGGTCCAGACGCGATTATTTACAGACCGCAGTCATATAGCTGAAATATTGCTAAGTGCGGCGTTAAACAACAAACAATATGAAACAGATCCAGTTTGAAAATAATGAATGTTAAAATATAATTGTAATTTACTTCCACATTTGTGGACTCTCAACCAGTGGGACAGGATTTTTTTAAATTAAAAAAAACATCTCAATCTTTTCTTGATGTTACTTCCCTAACAACCAGAAATGCTCATCATCTGGCAGTGAAGAGACTCCGGTTCCGTCCTCGACTTGGTCGAGCTGGATCAACAGAACCTGGCTCGTGGTTGCAGCTGGCGAGCTGTGGACTGGATCATGCAGTCAAAGTACATGACATTGATATCAGCAAATTATGATGTGTGTCACACATGACCACTGAGCTCCACACCCAACAACAGCAGATCTTTCAAGGCCTAGATCTGCTCCAGTGTATATGATGATAAGGATGCAAGGGCAATCTGGTAAACAAGGATTCAAGGGCTTGGTCCTCAGGACTCTTTGTCACCTTCCCCTTGGGGCTTCTGGATCAGAAGTTGTTCACAGAACTTGTATGAGGTGATTTGGTATCGTAGTACCCCAACACTGTGTGTGTCTGTGATAGTGCAGAGTTGAACAATGAATGGTTGCATACAATGGCCACAGAGTTTGGATAACAGAGGTGAAATGTGTGTTATGTAATATGCACGTGGCAGCCCAGCAAGAGGTGAATGATCAGTTGATTTACTTTTTTTTGTAAATCAACGGATCGTTCCTAGTCATCAAAGATTAATCACTGTTATCTTGCACAGTGGATATGTCAAAAGTGAGTGTTTACATGTCTAGGTTTACTAAAACAAAGGAAATACTCATATCATGGCGTGACAACATACTTTGTTCAAAGGGTTAACTGATAATACGTTGATTGATTGCTCATTGTTATCTATCACTCAATGGATTTTTTAGGAACCGTGGACGTTATGAAAATAGTTGTCACGTGGGCTTTCTCAGCCGACCCTTGAGACTTGACACCTATGTGAAACAATCTAAGTGATCAGTTAAAGAAAGGAACACGGGTTATAATTATCCCGAAACGATATATATCTTTTGAAATATTTGATTGTTACAGAGACACGTGACATCGAATAAGTTTCTTTGTACAGCTGCAGACGAGTAGGATATTGTTCCTTTGTGTGGATATTCACGGATACATTCCTCGAACAAGGAATCTGCCTAAAATTATACACATAAATTTGGTAGGTTGTAATTATGGTATTTGCATTGTTTTCCTTCATTTGCTGTAGCATTGAACCGTTTCGTTCTTGTTCCTCTACATCTTGTTTGGGAAATTCTTCAATGCGCGATAGACGTTGTTTTCACAAGTCTTTTTCCTTTCTAAGCGTGTATATATTACCGTCAATTTGTAAAATATGATTCTCTCAGGCAATTTATAAAATATGTAAATATTTCAGGCATTTTGACTGAAAATCCGTCCAGATTGACTAAAATTGATTAAGACGATCCAACGGGCCTAAAAACATCACAACAGATTATTATGTAGGATGAGAAGCCAAACTACATTGAAAATGTTACGTTGAAAAGTACATTTCTGTCTCTTGGTGATGACATTAAACATCAAAATGTTTGGAATTATTTATCATAATAATACAGATGGAAATGTTTTTCAGTCACTTTGTAAAATAACTGAATATTTAGGCGTTTAATAAATTTGAAAATGTTACACATTTTGACAGTAAAAAGATATACACACTATTAAAAAAGGCAATGCTCAGGTGAAATATTTACTTTGTGTTGCAAGTCAAAATAGTGTAAATGAAAACCGCAAAATTACCAAGCAAGTGACATATCAAAACTTCGTCATCATTACCGATGCTACCCACAAAGTTACCTACATTTCCTTATTATCTCGAAAACTGTATTTCATTTTGTTGATCAATGTGACCATACGCCCTTATTACTACCCATAAAAATGACTAATGCGCTTACGAATGGCGCAGCAGAGGTCGCGAACTAGTCTAGATTTCTGCTCTTCATCCGGGTACTCATTGGGAAAAAACAATAACAAAGGCAACAACCAGTCCCGGGGAATTGCTTTAGATCAGTGCCCCTTTAGTTTGCCATACGTCAACAATTTTTTCAAACAACTTCTTCTGAACCACTAATAGGAAATTAGCGTAATTTGACTGGAAGCATCCCTAGGTGGTGGGGATTCAAAATTGTTCAAACGGTAGTGCTAACGCCCCAGGGGACTGAGGGCCAGGGCCAAATAGGGGTAATTTGGCTATATTGCTTTAAACAACTTTTTCTTTGGAATTAAGAGAAAGATATCACCACCGGAGAATGCTTCCAACCAAAAATGATTGATTCAAAATTGTACAAATGGATGGGCTGGGCGAAATAGGGGTAATTTTGCTTTAAACATCTTCTCTGGAACTAAGAGATAGATATCAACCATATTTGGTGGGGGGATTCAAATTGGAGGGGCTGACATGCAAACCAATATTATCCCAGCCCAATAATAAAGTTTGTTTGTTATGAAGAGAATAATAGCATTTGCCTTGGGGATCCAGCCATGCCTCTTTAAACTTAGATCCTGGATCATAACATACAAATGTAACAAATCTTGAACCGTTTCCATCTAGAGAAGTACACATTCATGCTGTCAGATTTGCCATCCACGAAATATTTGCAGTATTATACATGCAAATGTCATGCATAAATAGCCAGGTGAGCGATACTGTAAAATCTGCTCCCTGAGAAAATTGAAATTATGCACACCAACTCATTTGATGGAAATTTATTGAGGTGAAAGCGAGTTCGAGATTGTGTCCGTCATCCGGCTGCTTGTAGTAGTCCGGACCAATGATTTGCTGCGGTATGAATACCCAACTCAGAAACGTCCAGTCCTTAATGACGCGGCCAGGGATCAAGCCTGACCTTCCGCTCTCCGACTTGATCAAGATTCCATGTGAATGACAAGGCAAAGACCTACACCAATCCTTTTAATACTTGGTTTATGGACTGCATAGAATATAGCAAATACAGTGTTGCAAAACTGTCCACATTTACATTGATAATGCATACAAACATTTTGCTATGAAAGAATGATTGATTTCATGACTTCCCTATTAATATATATGTGAACATATTTATTTATGAAACTTGTAAATAAAATGTGAATTTTTCAATTCCCTGTTTTTGTCAAACAAAAGATTGTCCTCGACAACTATACTCAGGTAAGTTCACATGTTCAATATAGACAGTGTACGTAACATAACTAGGTTCTAGGAGAGTTTGTTTGTCTAAGGACTTATGGTGAGAGAGTGAGTATGGTTTAACGCCACTTTTACAACAACAACCAAACACTGCTCTCTAAATTGTGCCTGTGACTCCAAGTTTTCAAAGGCTAGGTGTAACTCCTTAAGTAAAGAAGTCCAGATATTATGAGTAGTACGAAACATACTGTCAATAAGCATCAAACATTATGAAAAGTTGATGTGATTACAAGGAAACTGGATTTGGAGAAGATGGGGCACACTTAGAAATCATGATAGGAAGCTAATGATAAATATTTGTTGTTTAACGCCATACTCAGCAATACTTTATCAATATGACGGCGGTCTGAAAATAATCAAGTCTGGACCAGACAATCCAGTGATTGATATCATGTGCATCGATCCACGCACTTGGGATCGATGACATGTATAAACCAAGTCAACAAGCCTGACCACACAGTATGAAAACCAAGTTGCACCACACAAAACCAGGTTGCACTCTAGTGGCACTCCATAAATTAATCAAGGTTGAAACAGGCCGGTCTGCTGTCTGCCAGGTGAATTAATGATGCATTTCTGTAAAACATAACAGCAACATGGAACATAATCTTGAAGTTTGATGATGACAAATGATACGTAACAGGGATTGGTGATGTATGGTAAATAAACTTTAGAGGTACTGAGTGTGTTAAAAGATCGATAGGGTAGGGTTGACAAAAAAAGATTTAACTCGCACAAAGCATTTTTTAATAATAGATTGCACTTGTGCATGCTTTATGTCGCTAAATTTGCCTTGCTTAACATGTTCCAATCTCATTAAAATCAGATCTTAGTTCTCGCTACCGCTAAACAAAGATCTGAGGACATCCCATTGCTGGTTGCGTCAGAACGACCTTTAGCGAATTTTGACCAACCAATGAAATGACTGACAAGAAATCAACATTAGCCAATCAGAAGGCAGCTTTCTTGAGCTTTATGACACTAGTTTCAAACTGGCGACTACGCTTCGAAACATATTTTGACGTATTCTCGATTAAAAAAATTAAAACTGATAAGAACATTCTGGAATGGCTTACAGATGGCCTAGATTGTATGGATAAAATCATAAAACCAGTAACTGTCGTTTGAAATACCCCATGTTAAATATTTCGTGGTTGCATGATTAGAAAATACATTCCGACTGTCACTTTCATGATCTGGTAAGCGACGCTCTGATTGGTCGGATGAAAGGTCGTTCTGACGTGACCCTTAATGGAATGTCCTCAGATCTTTGTTTAGCAATAGCGAGAACTAAGGTCTGATTTTAACTAAGTGCCCTGAAGCACATGTGAAAGAAACCTACATATCTGTTTATGGTGCTATGTTCTTCCCGTGGTCGGTGGATCACAGAGTCGGAATGAAGCTATGGAGTCCATTATCCAGTTGGCAGGCAGCACACACATCCGCGATGACTGGATGGCAGGGTAAGACACCCTCTTGTCATGAATGATGAACACACTGCAGTCCTTCAAGGCACTGGTGGCCTCTGCATGGTAGGGCACCGTTTGGTCGTAGTCATCGATATTCTGCAGTTTGGGTTCCCGGGAGAAGATCTTCCCACCAGCACTCTTGACCAGGGTCTGAAGGTCCTCCTTCTGGGGAGTGGGCTCGTGGAAGGTTCCGTAGAAGTAGAACTGACACCCATCAAATAAGCCAGGCAGCTGGGGAACAAGGAAAACTGTGAAGCATGATGAGCCCACTTGCACAAAGCGATCTTAGCGCTAACATTAACGTAAGCCTATGTTAAAGTTTGGGAGTTACAATCATCTTAGCGCTAAGATCACTTTGTGCAAGTGGGCCCTGCAAAGTTCTTGATTATGAGGTAACATTGCCGTGTTCAAGATTATTGCACTTCTATAGCGACGTGCATGCATGTTTGTATGTGTGGCTGCTTGTACTACTCTGGTGAGCGAGTGAGTGAGTATGGTTTTACGCCACTTTTAGCAATACTTCAGCAATATCACGGCGGAGGACTGCAGAAATGTGCCTCACACATTGTACCCATGACGGGAATCGAACCCGGGTCTTCGGCGTGACGAGCGAACGCTTAAACCACTAGGCTACCCGACCGCCCCCGTACTACTCTGGACTAATGCCATCCCACAGAGATGCTAGGCCGCAGTTGAACATGTATACCCCTCTCAGACACAGTATACTAATTCCGAAACAAGTCTGTGTTTTGTCCCCTCCACCTCTAACATGTCACAGAATTTCTCTACTTTATGAGTTTAATTTGATTGGATGGCTATTTGTAGCATTGTTCCATTCAAACAGGACTCAAACGAAATTATGGTAGAAAGTGAGTGAGTGAGTGAGTTGGGTTTTAACGCCGCTTTTAACAGTATTCCAGTTATATCGTGGCGTGTCAGCTTAATGTGGAAGGAAAGCCCGAAGTGATGCAGGTCTCAGACGTTTACCACTTCGGTGAAACCCACGAGCACGGGTATGGTGCTGACAAACCTAGAAACATAATCGGGGCAACCGGGATTCGAACCCACAATCATAGGTTTCTGGCGTGCCCAAGGGAAGCAACTCTGCACAGCGAATCGTGGCGCCTTAGACGACTGGGCCACCCGTGCCCCATATGGTAGAGAATAGGTCCAGGGTATTTATCATAACAAGGATTGATCTGTGGGTTAGAATGAACTGAAAGGGCATGAGTAAGAAAAATCTCTTTTTCCTAAATACTGCATCCCCAAGGTGCGCATTATGCTTTGGGGCATACTATAGTCAAGAAAATATAGTCTTATTCGAACATAAGGGAAGTGAATAAGTGAGAGAATATATGGGCGTCAACTTCTTTATTATGAGGATTGATTGATTGAGTATGGTTTTACGTTGCTTTTAGCAATATTCCAGCAATATCACAGCAGGGGGACACCAGAAATGGGCTTCAAACATTGTATCCATTTCGGTAATCGAACCCGGGTCTTCGGCGTGACGAGCGGACGCTTTAACCACTAGACTACCCGACCACCCCTTATTACATGTAAATGTATTATGAGGAACAGAATGTTTTTGAAATTACAAAAGTAATTAATAAGATAACAAAGGTGGAAACATTAACAGCCCAATCTTAATCAGCGCTTTACAAATGGAAGCAGGAGTAGAACTGGTACTGAGCGGTAATAAGCAATGGACAAAATGGAACAACTGTTTTTACATGTACATATATATACTGTCTGCATCCTAGCAGTCATTGACCGCCTCCGTGGTCTAGTGGTAGAGTGTCCGCCCGGTGAGCGGAAGGTCCGGGGTTCGATCCCCGGCCGTGTCATACCAAAAGATGTTAAAAGATGGTACTTGTTGTTACCCTGTCTGGCGCTCAGCATTAAGGGGCTAAAACAAGGACTGGTCGGCTTGGAGTCAGTATACTGTGTCTGAGTGGGGTAGTGGGTGGGTAGTTACAGTCCGGACTAGCACAAGCACAAGCACAAGCACAAGCGCGCACACACGCACGTACATCGCTATATAAGTGCAATAATCTTGGACGCGACGTTAAACCCCATTTCACCTCACCTAGCAGTCGTTCACCTGATGAAGGAGTAAGCATATGCTCCAAAACATTGTGTTCCTCACAATAACAAAATTGACATCCATAAATTCTCTCTCTCTTATGTGTATCACTTCTATATGCCATTCAAGGATTTGATAACAGTAAATGTTAGCTTGACTATTGATTACTGTGAGGTAAGATATCTCTCAGTCGTTTTTAATGAACTGAGTCTTGAACTGAGTCACTTGCAAACCAGTGGTTGACAGCATGAGCAAAGATCCACTCCATCAGTGTGATAACACATTCAGCCACCATTCCCCACACGTTAGGTCCTCAGATACTGGGGACAGTCTAGTTCTTGCAGACTTAAGTGAGTTCAGTCCTATAAATACACAATCTCATTAAAATCATATCTTAGTTCTCGTTATCGCTAAACAAAGATCTGAGGACATTCCATTTCGGGTCAGAACGACCTTTCATCTGACCAATTAAAGCTTACCAGATCATGAAAGTGACAGTCGGAATGTGTTTTCTAACCATGCAACCTCGAAAACGTTAACACGGGCTATTCCGAACGACAGTTATGGCCCGTACGGCTGATTCTGTCAAAATTATCGTCTGTCTCTCGCTTCCGTAGGATAAACATTTGAACGGAGGAGGCGTTGCACAGTACGTGGGAAGCACTGCCAAACAATAGTAACCATATATTCGACATCCGGATTGTTCTTTTTTTCAGTTTTCAAAATTTTCATCGAGAACTGTGTCAACATATTTTTCAAGCTTAGTCTGAAATGGAAGTCGCCAGGTTGAAACGAGTGCCGTAAAGCTCGAGGAAGCTGCTTTCTAATTGGCTAATGATGACTTCTTGTTAGTCATTTCAATGATCGGTCAAAGTTCGCAAAAGGTCGTTCTGACGTGACCCGTGATGGGATCTTTGTTTAGCGGCAGCGAGAACTAAGATCTGATTTTAATGAGATTGATAAATACACAAAGACAAGATACACTGATGATGACATGCACCCACCTGCTGTCTCCTGTTCAGCCTGCCCTTGGTTGCAGCGTGCGAGTCTGGGTTGGTGCTGGGTCCCGGGACCTCGAAGGCCTCCTCACACACCTTCTGCCTGTACTCCAGACACAGGTCCAGCCCTGGAACATCACAATAGCGTTGTATCTCCGCCTGGCCTTGTGCTCACTTGTTGACAACCCAGATTTGACTCAAACTCAACAAACACTTTGTATCAATCAAAACGGTCTTTACTACACCATCGCCATAATACAACTGTCGCCTCAACCGCTATCACACTCATACGTCATCAACTTACCAAGTTTCGAATAACTACTCTAGAATGAATGATAGCTAGCGACGAATCCATGGACGTCGCCATGTTAGGTCATGTGACTACTCTAGCTCCTTACACACAATACCAACTCCATGCAGCGCATGCAAATTACCACATTTAACAATAGTAAAAACCGACATGGAGGAACACATTGTCAAAACCTCAAAGGTTTGTATACACTATGTTCCCTGATCGATCACCCGTCAATACATACAACATTTTGCAGTGCAGTCGCTATTTTTAAACAGCGAATCAAGACATGGCCTGGGAGAGGGAAATCAGCGAGTGATGACCAATGGGCTCTCAGATTACCTGACACAAACAGCAATATTTCTCATCGGGCAAATATAAAAAAATTGTCATTTCAAAGGACGATTTTTGACAATAGGTTAGTGATAACAGGTGCCAAAATATATTCACATTAGTAGATGTTTGATACTTCAGTTGCCAGTTCAAGACGCAATATTTGCTTTCAAAACAGGAGCTGAAAACTTGCTTGTCCTTAGCTATTGGTCTACTGTTACAGAATGTATCAACTTCAGGTAAATGTCAGGTTCCTTGACACACGTGCAGAATCAAGGAGGTTTGAAACGATACATCGGTGCATTGTGTCTTATGTAATGATTCGAAACATGATCAAGTTCTTACTTTATCATTACAAGACAATACACTTGCTACAATAAACTACATACTGCTTGTTTAATGCTTCCCTCCCCCGTTCCCTCCCCAATTTTTGACAGTCAAATATTGCAAGATGTGTTGTAATTATCGTTTCAAGTTCACTACTAAATATAGCCGCTACAAACATGTCAACAGCTAGCTTTTCCTTTAGAGTGAGTCAGTGAGTGTGGTTTTAGGCCACTTTTAGCAATATCCAAGCAATATCACAGCGGGGGACACTAAACATGGGCTTCACACATTGTACCCATGTCGGGAATCAAACCTGGGTCTTTGGCGTGACGAGTGAACGCTTTAACCACTAGGCTACCCCACCGCCCCTTTTCCTTTAGAACTTGCTCTAAAATATTTATTGTCAAGACGTTTCCATGCCATTTGACGTAAATATGTATATCGTGTTACGTATCGTATTGTGACCTGTGTGTATCGTGACCTTCCTGTATCGTTTCAACCCTAGAATCAAGGAGTCTTTGAGGACTGATTTCAAGGCAGATGCTGAAATTAGGTACTTTGTATTGTTTGTTTGAACCATGGAGATCAGTTGCACTGTGTGTGAGAAGTACTTACACTCTATGGAGAGGATCCACTTGCCACCGAGCACAGCATTCAGGAACTTGAGTGTCCGGGGACACTGGCCCTGCTGGTTACACGATGTGATCACGTGTGTCACTGGAATAACACAAAAATACACAGTGAAAGACATACTGTACATCTTGAACACAAGCGTTAATTATATGTGAAAAATGCGAGTGGTCTTTGCTCACATAATTAAGCATCGCATTTATAACAATAATACATTTTGGATAGCAGAAATACCAACTTAAAATGTCAAAGTTGTGTTAAACCAGCTAACTTCTGAAAAGTTACCATTTCAAGCCTATTGTTGGTTGGTTGGTTTGTTGTGTAACGCGGCCCTCAGCAATATTCCAGCTATGTGACGGCGGTCTGTAAATAATTGAGTCTGGATCAGATAATCCAGTGATTAATGTCATGAGCATCGATCCATGCAATTGGGATCGATGACATGCATCAACCAAGTCACCGAGCCTGACAACCCGATCCCGTTAGTCACCTCTATCAACAAGCATAGTCGCCTTTTACAGCATGCATCGGTTGCTGAAGACCTATTCTACCCCGGATCTTCATGGGACTCAAGCCTATTGCCCAATAGGCAATCACGATCTTGTTTTTCAACATGCCCAAGAAACATCACATTTCCCTCATAGTGCTGATGTATAATTCAGACAGACTTTAAAGTTTTAAAAATATTTTTGCAAGTGAAAAGTAGGTTCAACATATTAGTTACTTTTCTTTTTAAATTTGCACTTTTTGATGCAACCCATCCTCATGACCAAAAATCAGAACCTTTTCAAATCATTGCTTTCATTTAGTAATATAATGAATCTAGGTTTGGAGTGGATGGGTAATTGAAATTGAAAACTTAATTAAAGTTTGCCTACCTTCTCATTTTTAAAAAAGAGAGATGAGAAACAAGAAAGCTTTTAATATGGCCTTAGCAATATTCCAGCCACATCATGGCAGGGGACTCCACCAAGAATATGCATCAAACACTGCACCACATGGGAATCAAACCTACGTCTTCAGCATGTCAAGTCAACACCATAACCCCTTGGCTACTCTACCACCTTATATGTCAGTGTGAACTAAAACATCCCACTTATAGCATGGTACGCTTTATTATTGCGGTAGTTAATTCATAATGGATTGTTGTGGGAAATGCTTATCAACCTATTAAATATTTCATACGCAAAAAGTTTCTTGGACTTTGGTCAACTTTTATGACATATCAATTAAGATTGATCGATTCTAATTTTCTTTACAGAGTTTACAGAGCTCAGAAAACAAAGCACCCGTCATCAGCGGCTCAAGGGCGAGCAACTCTATATTATCGTGGCATCACTATTTTGTGGTGTGATACGTGTTGGTTATGTGGATTACATCACTTCCTGTTTTGGATTATGCATTATCAGTATGCATGCGACCTAGGATGGGTCAAGGGACATTGTCCAATCAAATGGGTTCATTACTAACCAATTTCAAATGGAGGTAGGTGTAATTCCACTTCAAAACATTCCAGAAACTGTCATAAAAGAGTTAACATGTATACTTACCAATAACTGCGACATACCGCAACAAGTCCTGTATTCGATCAAGAGAAGAAATATTGTGCTTGGATTTGCCTAAGTAAACAGTCGACAGGTTGTGGATCACAAGATGTATCGATACCGCCATAAAATAGAGCCTGCGATAATATCGTCAACTTATACATTTGGTGTATCCTGAAACGGAATAAGTTTATTTACCTTCTGGTACAAAACGCTCTACGACCTTAGCGTGGAGCATAGATGCACACTTGTGAAGTGTCCTGCCTTGGTCCCTCGACAGTGCCGTACCCAGGAAGCACAGAGGCAGATATTCCTGTTCAGTCTGAAATGGAAATACGCATTACAAACTTTGTATGAAAACGCGATGCGTGAATGTTGTTTAATGCTGCATTCAGCTTCATCATAGTGGCCTGTAAACTCCCACATCAGAACAACATGCCATGCAACCAGCCACCTGACACTATGGATCAACTAAAAGTCGAGTGATGTTATGTCATGGCCTTGTCTGTCATAATCGTCTCCGACGAAATCCCGGAACAGGTGAAGCTCAAAATCCACATGCCTTCTTGTTCCCGCGAAGGTTGACACAAACTAAGGCTCCGCAAACTAAGGCAAATTGGGAACAATTATAATATTGTTCAAAATTGGGATTTAGGTTTTAAGTTCTAATTTTCTTAATTTCAGTGGTATTACAACATAACAGCCATTCCTCTTTATGAAATAGCCCTGTTGTAAGTATCCTCGACCAAGCCATCATACTAAGATATAAGCCACCTATATTAGGCTAAAAAAAGTAATAGTCTTGGTTCTCAGGCACTGCCCACATCATCTTAAAGTCCAATGCACATTTCGTTTTTGTTTCCATTTTCAATTTTTTTTGTGCATTGTGTGTAAGTATTAAGATTTTTATATTTTTTGGAAAATGGAAATAAAAACAAAACATGCAGCAGACTTTATGATGATGCGGGTGGTGCATGAGAACCAAGACTATTATTTTTTTCAGCCTTAACATAAATTGGGAAGTTTTACTGACATCTGCTGCAGACTTGGGGTTAATATCGGCCTTCAAGCAGGTCTAGATATATCTCTGAAAATCTATTAATGGCCATTATTCAGTCAATTTTGCTCAAAATGAAGTGGAAATTGGTATACACTTTGTTAGTAGTAGGGCTCAAAACATATTTCCTATGAGGAATATTTTACATTTTGATTGGATGACTTGGATACTGTAGTATATATAGTACATAAATAAAGATTGATTGACTATGTAGGTGCCTCTTTTGGTAAGCACAAGTTACTGGGGAGTTCTTCTAACCCAGAATCCCTACTGTTACATCGTTAACATGGAAAAATGAATGCTCCCTTCACAGGAAGTTACTTAGCACTCTGGGGGCACGGGTGGCCCAGTCGTCTAAGGCGCCGCGATTCGCTGTGCAGAGTTGCGTCCCTTGGGCACGCCAGAAACCTATGATTGTGGGTTCGAATCCCGGTTCGCCTCGATTATGTTTCTAGGTTTGTCAGCACCATACCCGTGCTCGTGGGTTTCACCGAAGTGGTAAACGTCCGAGACCTGCATCACTTCGGGCTTTCCTCCCACATTAAGCTGACACGCCGCGATATAACTGGAATCCTGTTAAAAGCGGCGTTAAACCCAACTCACTCACTCACTCACTTAGCACTCTTGGGGCGCAAGGCATGTTGGGAACAAAACCAAAAAATGGCTCACATGATCTTGTAACTGGAAATAAAAAACATACAGGTATTCCAACCAAAAGATATATGATCTTGTTATCAATACACTACACCTACTGACCATAGAAACATCCGCCTGTCTTGGTCCTGCTGACACTGGTGTGTTCAGGGCTTGTCTCATCTCATCAGTTAGGGCCAAGTCCAGTGGTGTCTGTCCCTTCATGTTCCTGCAATAGTGAGCCAGCCAGAGGTTTGGAGCTTTTGTCAGTATTTCAGTAATTTCATGGCGTCTGATTAATTTCAGAAGACAGGCAACAGTAGTTCATAGACATTCACCAGTTTGGTGTAAGGTAGGCATGGATAGGAGCTGACAGAACAAGGATCACCATCAGGGCAACCAACCAGAGAAAAGGAACCAATGGTTGGTGAATCCTGGCTTGGCTAAGGGATGCAACTCTGCACAGTCAAAATTCGAGACAGATGGCTTTGACAACAGGGCTATGTCTACTTCCTGAATAAGTTATAATCAGCAATCAGGCCAAAATTCCGAGAGAACTGATTGTTTTCCGTTGTTTAGCAATGCATTGAACGTTATTCCAGCAAAATGGCCATAGAGTTAAAACATCGCATCTGGACTGGACAATCAAGTGTTTTATATCGTGGGCAACGATCCACACTAAGTCACCAAGCCTGACCACCCGATCCATTTGTTCGCTGCTTATTAGCAGCATAGGTTCCTCGGGACCTGTTCTAACCTGTAATCCCCAAAGGAATAAGACCGAGAGACTTGCATATCAGCATATCAGAGATGAGAGAGTGAGTATGGTTTTACGCTGCTTTTAGCAATATTCCAGCAATATCACGGCGGGGGACACCAGAATTGGGCTTCACACATTGTACCCATGTCGGGAATCGAACCCAGGTCTTCGGCGTGACGAGCAAACGCTTTAACCACTAGGCTACCCGACCACCCCTATCAGAGATGACACAAAACAAGATTAACATCAAGGTGAAGGTGAAAGGCAACAGCACAGCCAAATGTCCAATTATTTGGAAATAAAGCATATGTTATGGAACATACCCCCTACATGCTGAACAAAGGAAAGGGTGAGTAATTTACCAAAATGTCATTTTCAATATGGCTGCCATGGCGGCCATCTTTAACATAACATAGAAATTCTGTGAGCACTTTGAGGATCCCACTAACCTGGTACTTGTGGCAGCCCCTCTGGACACAAGCAGCTTCACCACGACGAGTCTGTAGTTGGTCACGGCATCGTGCAGTGGGGTGTCGTTATCCATGCCGGGGATATTGATCATCGCCCCGTGATTCAGCAAGATCTCAGCAATAGCAGCATGGCCGTGGTTACAACATTCATGCTACAAGATGGACATTACAAAATATGTACTGAACATTAATAACGATAGCACAAGTTGGTTGGTTTGTTGTTTAATGCCGCACTCAGCAATATTCAAGCTATATGACACAGATGTAAATAATCGAGTCTGGACCAGACAATCCAGTGATTAATATCATGAGCATCGATCCACACAATCAGGATCGATGACATGCATCAACCAAGTCAGCAAGCCTGACCATCCGATCCCGTTAGTCACCTCTTACGACAAGCATAGTCCCCTTTTACGGCAACCATGGGTTACTGAAGACCTATTCTATCCCGAATCTTCCTGGGTCTTATTTCAGAGGTGATATATGTCTGATAAACACATTGGCACTAAGAAAACTGACAACCATAAACAAAAAGTTAAATTCTTTTGAAACCTACACATTTTCCTACATGAAATATGAAATAGGGGAAATACCAGTGGAGTCCACCCTGCATTGTCACGAACATTGGGGCCGGCACCAGACTCAAGCAATGCCATCACTCTGTCTGCATCTCCCTGGAACATAGATGGACAAATGTTGATACAAATTCATACCTTCCTCACCCGTGGAGATCCAACGGTTTAGCGGAAGCGTCAGTCTGGCCGCATGGTTGCCGTATGGTCCCCTGCCACGCCTGCGTCTGCCTTGGTATTTGTCAAAAACCTACCGCCACCGCAGGAACGCCCTAAAGGCCGTACGGCAGCCGCAGGTCTTCTGTCTCCACAAATTCAATATACGCTGTGTGGCTACCCTTACATATGTGTCTGCTACAGTATGTGACCATGGGATTGCGGCGGCGACCCTATAATTGCTATTGGCCGTAGATATTTTAGACCTGGGTCTTCGGCGTGACGAGCAAACGCTTTAACCACTGGGCTACCCGGCAGCCCTATTTCAGTAATGAAAAAAATCATCAACAGGTGAAGGTCAACATGGGAAAGGAACTCTTGAAACCAAACATTTTTTTAGTTTCAATTTTACTTACTTCCCTGATTGACCGTACCATGCTGACAGTACTTCTAAGATATCAGCCTATGATAATGCTCATGTCTATGTTTTACCATCAGTGCTATGGTTGTTGAAAACTATTCTTTAAACAAAGTCACTAAAGAAGAACGCCTAAACTGTACATTACTTTTCAGGGATGCAACTTAACCTGAATCATTTAGATGCCTGAATAGTGAGGTTACACCCTGAAAGACATAAAATTGTTCTAACCCTCACAACATCGTTAACATTTGACAAACTGATTCGACCCAGCCGATGAGTGCCAAGTAGCATCTGTTCTTTTTTAAATAACTAAATTATTAGCCATCTTTTTAAAATAGTCTGACCTTGATGGCTGCAACATGCAGTTGAGTCTCCCCCCTGGCATTACGCTTGATGTGTCCCGTGCTTGACTCCACGATGCTAACATCCACGTCCCTCCTTCCGTTCTTCCTCGGGCTCCCCCGGAACACAGGCGAGGTCTTCTCCTTGCTCTTTACACACTTCCTCCCCTTCTTCCTCTGATCTGCAGACTGGCCTGATGAACCTGAACTGGATGGTGTGCTTGTATTAGACAAGGCCTGCTTCTTAGGTCTTCCATGTCCATTTCTTGTTTCCTTCGATACCGATCTGGCTCCGCGGCTAATTTTACCTGGGTTACTTTTGGTTGTAACATTGCTGTCAGTATCATCTGGCATGTCTAATAGTGGCAACTCGTCGTCATCATCATCATCATAGTCAAAGAATTGAGTCATTGTTGACTGATCTGCAGGTTTTACCTTTGTCTGTCTGCTGCTGCTTCTCCTACTGCCTTCCTTGCCTGGTGTTTGGACACCTTTCCCTGGCCGTCCTCTTTTCCGACTCCGCCCAGCCTCCCCAGCGTCAGGAGAACCTCCATTATCATCTGCAGCTTCATCATCATGTAACTGGGTCAAGGTCGTCTGCAACTCCTTTTCGCAAACATTTCTACTCCCACGTCTGCTTCTAGAAACACTCCGGGAATCACCCATCCTCCTTTCAGGCCCTTCATCTGTCATCTTCCCTCCTCCATCATCTTCCATAGGTGCATCTTGCGTCTTCCTCTGACCTCTCCTTGACCTGCTGCGACCTGACCCAACCCCTCTGCTTCCATCTTCATCCTTCTGTTCTGTTTCCACAGACTGTCGTAATCTGGTTGGTTTAGATGTCGGTTTCTTCCTTCTCAGGCTCCTCCCAACGTGAGATCCAGCCCCGTCACCTTGTGTCTGATCCCCCTGACCTGCCGTGACCTTGACATTGTTGACCGACACACTGCAGCTACTAATACCACTATCGCCAACAGTCTGTCTGTCTGATATTGTGTCTGTTGTGTTAGACGTGTGACGCAGCTGCCCAGACTGTGGAGTGCTCTCTTGCAGATCTTGAATTGACTGGTCTGCAAAATAAACATAAATAAGTTTGTCGTAGAACATGCACCCTCAGCACTATTTCAGCTTTTGGATGGTAGGTGAGGTGAGGTGAGGTGAAATGGGGTTTAATGTCGCGTCCAAGATTATTGCACTTATATAGCGACGTGCATGCACGTGTGTGTGTGTGTGTGTGTGTGTGCGTGTGCGTGCGTGCGTGCGTGCGTGCGCGCTTGTACTAGTCCCGACTGATGCCGATTTATAGTGCTAGCCCTTTGAGAGACCATGCCGCAGTTTAACATGAATACCCCACTTAGACACTGTATACTGAGCCGACCAGTCCTTGTTTTAGCCCCTGAATGCCGAACGCCAGACAGGGTAACAACAAGTACCATCTTTTAACGTCTTTTGGTATGACACGGCTGGGGATCGAACCCCGGACCTTCCACTCTGCGGGCGGGCGCTCTACCATTAGACCACGGAGGCGGTCAGTGGCTGTGGTAACTGTATCCCAGTCTAAAGGGCACTATAGCTGTAAAACATCCTTTCTGAATGGAAAAAATATACATTCTTGGATCCGGGCTATTTAATGATTCCAAAACCATTTCCCAACACTAGCTTAAGCATAACATTCAGCAGTATCCTTGCTCATTCATCTCATGGTCACAGTTCATACGAAACTTTAGACACCTTATGACCTTCTCAAATCAATAATAGCTAAAATCAAGACTCAAGTATGCCAGCAAATATTTTAATTAGCATGATTAGGACATTGTTACTGCATGTCATGGTCAGAATTAAAACTATTAAAACATTCAAGTCCACAAACCATGCACAGCAGTGTTTCAATAACCAGAGCTACAAATAAGCAGCGTATTTACGTAAAATACCCCCCCCCCCCCCCCCAATTTTTTTATTCAAAACCCAATTACTTTCAATTACCTTGTGTACAGAAACAAATGTACCAAATGAAAAACCAAAATTTATAAAAACAGCATGCGTAAATACCCAATGAAGCTTTTTCAGCATGCATACAACGGAGCTAATTTCCTTAACACAATTACGATCTAATTTACTTTCTGAGTCAAGCCTATATATATTTAGAACAGTAATGTACATCAAAAACATTATTTCACTTTTTTTTAATCTTAAAACGTTCACTAATTTTGGGATAAACCCAACAGGGTGATGAATAGATGAGTGAAAAAATATTGGTTACCCAATGAAAAATGTAATAACCCAATTAAGATAGAAACCCTAGAGTAAAAACTCAATTGCTCAAAACGTTATCTGCTGCTCTGAATAACTATAATTTACCGACTGTGGCAATCATCATGGCTATGAATGATGTCATCATGCATAATTAGTGTATATAATGATTGTAATATTTCTTTAACATCAGATGATAATAATGTATTTTGGAGTAAAAATATCATTTATACTTATCCTAACATAATTGCTTATCTCATCACATTTCCGAAGGTTGTGGAAACTTCCTGAGCTGTGTATGCAGAGAACAGCAAAACATCTCACTGAATGCACCTCCGAGCCGTGAGTGAGTGAGTGAGTAAGTATGGTTTTACGCCGCTTTTAGCAATATTCCAGCAATATCACGGCGGGGGACACCAGAAATGGGCCTCTGAGCCGTGAAGGCAGACCGGAAGCTAGAGACCAGGAAGGTAACTCGTCACTCTTTCATTTTCGAGCTAACTGAGTAGTTGGAAAAATTTTAAGTTATTATGGGTGGGTGAGTCGGTGAGTATGGTTTTACGCCGCTTTTTAGCAATATTCCAGCAATATCACGGCGGGGGACACCAGAAATGGGCTTCACACATTGTACTCATGTCGGGAATCGAACCTGGGTCTTCGACGTGACAAGCGAACGCTTTAACCTCTAGGCTACCCAACCGCCCCTTAAGTTATTATGGGCTTATTGTACCTGCATCTCGTGTAATGGCACCCCATTCTGTCTTGTCTTGATTACAGGTGAGAATCCGCCCCAGCTCCTTACAGAGACTGACGAGGTTTGACAGCTGTCTGTTCACCTGGGCATCCTTCACATGGGCAGGTATCTGACATGCAGGACAAACTGCACCCAGGAAGGAACTGCAGCAGTCACTGTTAAAAAACAAAAATATAAACTTTTTCACTGGCCACATCACAGACTGCAAATATGAGCATTTCTGATTAAATGCAATGTTTTTATACTTACCTGACGCTACACCTATAGCACCGTGTAGCGTCAGGTAGGTAAAACATTTGTTTGTTGTATAACGCCGCACTCAGCATTATTCCACCTAATGAAGTAAATAATTGAGCCCAGACCAAACAATCCAGTGATTAACATCATGAGCATTGATATAAGTAATTGGGATACAATGACACCCCATCTAGTTAGAAACCGCTTACGAATTTGGCAACTCAAGTTTTGTATGAAGCATGAGAGAGTACCTGCAACAAGGTGCACACTAACCCCATGGATTGCTGAAGACTTACCCAGAATCTTCACGGGGTTAATCTGCAATTAATTGCAGGGATTCTTTCATGGTTCTGACGTGACCCGTAATGGGATGTCCTAAAATCTTTGTTTAGCGGTAGCAAGAACTATGACCTGATTTTAACATGTTTAATGAGATTCACTTGGGGCTGAATATCAGCCTCTGAACTGGTCTAAATAAACCCCTGTCTTGCTGCAGCTTTGGGGCCAAATGTCGGCCTCTGACCTGGTCTATATAAACCTGGTCTTGCTGCAGATTTGGGGCTAAATATTGGCCTCTGACCTTGTCTTGCTGCAGATTTGGGGCTGAATATCGGTCTGTGAGTATGTTGACCTGAGTATTTTTTAACATGTTCAATATGACATACTAAAATAACACAACTAAAATCAATTTAACATATTTAATACTCAAAAATTTCTTACCGACAAAATAAGTGATCGCAAGCACCTAGAGTACACAGTGTGGGATGAAGTTTCTTGCTGCAGAAAAAAATAAAAACCTGTGTGAATAATCATCCTGTTGAGGCTAAGATATGACAGCTGCTTACATAGTTCCTTAAATTTCAAGGAATCTTTTATGTTTCCTAAACATGGTAAACATGATGAGTGTAACGATTCAATGCATCGCAATTGTCTATGGCCAGATAACAAAATTTACAGACTTCAAGTTAAAATATTATTTGCTAACACTGCTGTCACTTACACTATCACTATATGTTGGTGTTTGTTTGTTGTTTGACACTCTTTCAGAATACCCGTATTAGACATAATAAGCGTCCCACTCTAATAAGCGCCCAGAGCAAAATTGCTAATGTATTGGCTAGTGAACAATCCCACTTAGCACTCGTGTGTTATATGCACCCTTAATTATGGGCAATTAAATTCTGGAAAAATATATCTGTCGTATATAAACATTTCAGGCTGTCAGCATAAACCACGAAATTTACGATCTTTCAACTCTCTTTTTTCACCAAAATAATATTCTAATAAGAGCCCCCATATCTAATTTTGAGAGCACCCTGGGCGCTTATTACATCGAATACGGTAAATATATTCTAACCTGGCCAGTGATCTATACAGGCCCTACACATGCTTCAACATGTCCAAATAACCATGTGCTGACAGTCGCCTGGTGTGCAGCACAAATGGATTATATGCTCCTATCAAATTTACAAACACATCACATGTGAAATTTGTTGCAAGACATATCGGCAAAACAATGCCCTGTAATGTCATTATAGCATCAGAGTTGCTGAGGTCATCGAATGTCATCAATTCCACTATCATCCCACACACAATGTCACATAATAAGTCCAGTGATGTTCAAAATATTTCATATTTTTAAAATAAATATAGCATGCAGTGGCGCCATTTATCGCAAGCATAAGTTTATGAAAGAATTTGTATTTTAAACATATTCTGTTTTCGGTTTCAACTTAATTCATGGAACTTACGGGATTATAATGGGAAATAATATTCAAATAAAAAAATTTGATTCAGTAATTTTTATTATTAGGCACAGGAATGATGTTAATTAGGTATGGAATGAATCAATGCATGATCATGTGGACAGTGGTCACGATTGATAGAGGAAATGACAAACACCCATGAGTTGCACCCGACTCGCCTAAAATCCAACTCGCCTAAAACAATCTGACCCGACTCGCCTAAAAAATATATTTAATATTTTGGTATGCGTTTGGCAAATATAACTTAGGTTAGGCCTAATGATCACAATTACTAGTATATTCATACACAAGCATGGAAATAATATATAAAAAAACGTATCATCCATAGAATTTGTCTTCTGTCATATTTACATCTGCACTTCATGTTGAGTCAGTGAGTCCGAGCCCAGTCGGTTACGCTATTGGGACCGAGACTACAACACTAACATTTAGGTACATTATGTGTATAAAATGCATTACTATGTATTTCTGATAGTTACATACTTATTCTAAAATACAAAAACCGACCGTTGTTCGCTCAAAAATTTTTTAGGCGAGTCGGGTCAAAATCTTTTAAGGCGAGTCGGGTCAAAATCTTTTTAGGCGAGTCGGGTCAAAATCTTTTAAGGCGAGTCGGGTCAAAATCTTTTTAGGCGAGTCGGGTCAAAATCTTTTTAGGCGAGACGGATTTTGGGCGAGTTGGGTGTATCCCACACCCATGACTCTCGATGTGATCCGTAGCTACAATGAAGATCATTGTGCACCTCTTGGGATGCAGTATATTCGTTTTCTACGCCCACTCACAACATTTGTGGATTGCATAAACCCTGATGATTTGCACTAAGTTTAACAGTGTGGACATATGATATAAAAATATCACTTGGTCAGCTCGTCAGTCTCCCCTTCAATTCCTAAACATGTCAAAAGCTGTAGGTGTGCAAAACTTAAGACGTGTGTCACGATTGTAGTCAATAATTTGTTTGTTGTCGTGGTTATGATCAACTCTCTGTCGACTTATACACCAACAGTAACTGTCATCGGGGGCCTAACATCTTTGACTTTAGCATTCATATGCTGCACACACTCAAATCTCGGGTCTGTCAGTGTCAATGTTCCCCGTAAAATTTCAGTGTCCGACACTTGACAAGACAAAGGGAAATGTTGATTCTTTTGTGAGTCTAAGAATAAACACTTTCTACAAAGTTGAAGTATTTTACCATTGCGTGCATGACAGTGAAGTTTCCAAAACATCTAGAGCTTTCAGTGTTTTCGTATACGCCATGTTTTGGCGCCGTTTCATGTAAACATAGATCTTAGTGCACAACTCATACAATTTGTGAAAACAGAAAATTCTTCTACTTAGATAGTTTAAATTTATAGATAACAATAAAAACCAAATTATACGATGTCTACATTTCCTATTCTATTTTAATACAAAATACATGGGACCAAGGCAAAATCCTACCTCAATTCCCATGGCAAATATGATCATAATATAAATAGTTTTAAAGAAATATCACATGTTTATACCGGAAAGGGAAGGAAATCTAATTTACCCACAATCCCGTGTTCACGATGGAGGACGGTACGAGAAATGATACATTTTGTCCCGAAAACTTTGACAATTGATCTCTTTATTGTCGATAATAGACTAGTTTCGTTGCCGGTCAAATTATTTAAGTATGTTTTAACGTATAATATCCACTTCAAGTAGTTTTGACTTTATTATGTGTATGAATTATGACTAATACGTAAGTGGGTTGGGCAGACAAGTTATTCATTTTAATTGATTTCGCAGATACAGGGGGCCGATAGCAATTTTTGTGTGGTTATTTCAGTTCGCAGGTTCAAAAGTAAGTATTCAGCAATATGTCGGAACCATCTAACGACGTTTCTTAGAAATAGCCATCGACGTAAACTTACACTGGACCGAGGTCCTCCCTGACATTTGTTTTGACGTGTTTGACAGTTCTAGATAAGTGGTGCTTTTGGCAGGTTTATCACGTTTTCGTGCTAGAGGGCTTGTTTACCATAATGCTACTTTGTGTTGAATACAAACGTTGTGATCTTATTTCCATGTAACATTTATCTTTCAAATGAAACATCTGAGCTGATTTGGAAAGATATATACATACAGGGCACTTAATTTTAACTAATTATCCAGTTTGTGATATGTAATTTTTAATGATTATGATGACACTGACATGTGAAAACAGTACCCATCAACATCATGCTGGATACTACACATTGTTTGTTTTTTAAGGATTAGCATAGTGAAAGAAGGAAGTTTTTTTGTGAAATTGTTAATGGACAACATAATTAGCATTTCAGTGTGTTCAGAAGATATGAATATAAGCTTTATGCATGTTATTATGGTTATGTGTTTATAGTAATGCATGATGTGAGAATTTGTTAAAAAGACTGCTGTTAAAAATGACTATTTTAACATGTTGAATTCTTTTTATCAGATAGATCTAGACTCTAGTTCTCTTGATAATCATGGCAACCTTTTCTCTTGCTTAGGAGAGCTGTCCTACAGATGGTGAAATGTAGAGGTCCAGGATTTGCCCACTGAGGAACAAAACTACATCTCAAGAACCAAGAGGAAATGGAGTAGACACTATTACCTCAGAAAGAAGAATGGCCAAAAGACAAAAACCATGATGTCTTAAATTTAGGTGTTTGGTTCAAGGATCGTGAATCAAAGAGACCATGTAGTATGTGACGACAGTATGGCGGAAGGTAGTATTACAAGGAAGAACTCGGACTATAGTTCTATTGATGATCTTTCTGTCCCTTCAACAAGATCGTTAGCTCTGTCCAATGTTCAGCCCCTTCCGTTACGAGAAAGGAGCAACAGTGACTCCAACTTGAATCTAATCAGTCCGCAGAACTGGTCAAAGCTGACAGTTGACAAGTATGAGTTCACACTAGGAGTGGACAGTTCTGCTGTTGTATCCTGGGATATCAAAGAGGATGTCGGCGCTAAGGATTGGATTGGCCTCTTCCCTGCAGGTAAGCAGCTTTAGAAATTAGTTTTTTAGTGACTGCTCCAAAGGACTAGTACAAAACATATTTGACTAAACCGCAGTATTTCACTAGTCCTCTGAGTTTGTAGCTAGTTCTGGCACTGTCCTGCAGGAGTTGAAGTTATATTAAGCTATAGAGAACTGGTAAAGTATAATCATGATAATAGCCCTCACATTTTACTAACAATTGAGGACTGCCATCATCATCAGCATCATAGTTGGGGTTTAACAGCACAATATGAATAGTCTTGGGGCACGCAGCCTAGCATGAATTTCCAAAACTGGATATGGATCACCATTTTCCAAGGGAAAAGTTTATTTCTCACTTTTCTTGTATTAGCATGATTAGTGATGGGAGTACCAATACCAGCATGAACTGATGAACATGTGAAGTCAAGGGGCCTTTGTCATTGCCTTAATGCTAAGCAGTTACAGATCATGTGATTCAAATACCATAGGAGTAGACCTCTCAAGCACCCTTCATTTCCAACACTGAATAACAAGATAAGACAAGATGAAAAGTTTATTTGTTGTGTAGCTCATGCCTTTAATGGATGAGTCCTTATAATGATAACATATAGCAAAACCCTTAGAAATGGCATATTTCTACTAGTCCTTATGATACCTTAACTACTGGGCAGCTTGGCAAGGACTACAGGACTAGTGCCAAATTCTAACACTGATGTATACACAATTTTATTTTGAAATAATTTCAAGAAAATAAGAGATGACATAAATATTACCGTATTTGACATAATAAGCGTCGAGGGTGCTCTCAAAATTAGAAATAGGGGGCTCTTATTAAAATATTATTTTGGTGAAAAAAAACAGAGTTGTAAGATAAATTTCGTGTTCACGTATGACAGGTATATTTTTCCAGAATTTAATTGCTCATAATTAAGTTTGCATATAACACACGAGTGGGTATCATACGCAAATAAATAAGTCTTGTGTACATTGATCAATTGGAAGGGGTGCTAATTGGGATTGTTCAGTAGCCAATATACTCGCAAATATCGCTGTGGGCGCTTATTAGAGCAGGGCGCTTAAATTAAATTATGCGTATAAGATGCAGTATTTTGCATCTAGTAGTGATGCTAGTGGTGTTGCCATGGTTTGTTGGTTGGTTGATTGTTTTTTACGGCAAGCATGGGTTGCTGAACACTAGGGCTGCAATAAGAATTGTATCATGAATATAGGGTAATTAACGAATAAGAATATATATTAACTAATACAATAACAAGTCAGCAGTTAATATATTTTTTTATGATATACAGTGTAACAATAACAACATAAATTATTTGACATGGTTTGTTAATTATTAATTTATTATACATTTATATACTTCTCTTGTCCAGATACTAGTATCTGCTCAAATGCGACAATGACCAGTGACAACAATACTGTAAATAAAAGAGTGTTGTCTTTTATGAAATCTATGCATATAATATGTTCTTATGCATATTATAAGGGTCAGGGTATGTAAATGCACATGACTGCATATTCATAAATATTCAATTCTAGTGACCACGAATAACGAATTCAATTCATGAATGGATACGGTTCGATTCACCAAATACGCGAGTGAATCATAACAGCCCTACTGAACACCTATTCCATGTATTCTACCCCGGATCTTCACGGGTCTGTTGCCCATGTTATTCCCAATGCAAATGATTAGATTTCATCAATGTTGATCATGTGATTGACTTAAACTTTTACATGTTTTGGTTTTGAATTCCCTACTTAGGAATTGATCATGAAATCTGTGATTGATTATTTTCCTGTTATCATGACTATATTGTTAAAAGTCTACTTCAATAAATTAGTATGGGATACTAATATTGAATATGACGTGTGAAAATATAAATGACTGCTAATAGCCTATTACGGTTTTAACATGGGCCCTTGAGCCATCCAGATGTCAGGTTTATAAAATGGCTTCATTTGTTCTTTACAATTTTGATTTGGACCCACACAGAACACAAAAATATTTCTCTGATGGCTCTCCCTTTTGTGTGTTACTATAGATGCAAATGCACTGACAGGTAACAGGATATATACAATATCCACAATATATTATATCATGGCCACTGCAATTGGAACTTGCTCTTTTGGTTTATTTTCGAAATGCAGCAATCAGATACTCATTCACTCACTCATACCAAGAATTTAGAAACCTCAGTGCTGATTGGCTGATTAGAAAGTTCACCTGACGTGACCTCCTGTGGAGGTGTTGAATCTGAGTAAAATATCAGATTTTAATAAGATTTTATGTTTCCTTCTCATTCTGGTAGATTTGTTTTAAACATGTTGAGCAGTGGACATGGTGGAGTGTTAATAAAATTGTACTAAAGCATGGTATGGTTCATGCTTTTCATTTCATGTAGGATTCAGAGAAATAAATCAATTATTTACCAATTCTCATTAAAAATGATATCAGTCTGCAACTTAAGCCTCTAGTTCGAAGCCAGAGTCTAGTAAAATTCTGTTTGGTCTGGTAAACTCAGCTAATAATAGTCCATAAAATAACACTAAAATTTTCCACGAGTGATGCTGAGAGCCGTGTTGGGGCCCCTAGACTGAAAAGTGTTTGGCACAGATTGTGATATTTATACCAATTCCCAACTCCATGATGAACACAAGTGACACTGTAGGCCCTATTGTCGGCTTCAGAAAAGAAATGTTCATCCTATGGACCCTGACAGTTATCTAATTGTACTCAAGGGGGAACGGGTGGCCCAGTCGTCTAAGGCGCCACAATTTGCTGTGCAGATCTGCGTTCCTTGGGCACGCCAGAAACCTATGATTGTGGGTTCAAATCCCGGTTCGCCCTGATTATGTTTCTAGGTTTGTCAGCACCATACCCGAGCTCATGGGTTTCACCGAAGTGGTAAATGTCTGAGACCTGCATCACTTTGGGCTTTCCTCCACATTAAGCTGACATGCCGTGATATAACTGGAATACTGTTAAAAGCGGTGTTAAACCCAACTCACTCACTAAATGTACCGATCATGCCAGTGTTCTAAGGAGAGACTGATGCTCGAAACTTGCAGGAGCCTTTCTAGTTTTAAGGGCGCTGCATAATTCATGCGAACTGATTTTCTTCTTGAAATGACTGGAAAGAACTTTTCATATTCTTCGTGAAGATTATTGACAAAGTTTAATGGCATTATCCTATGTATAGACCAAGCTTGCAGATATTGATCATGTTGGTGTGCATGTGTCTGTGGCTATATGTAACATCCAGGACATCAATACTGATT